AAAAAAGTCCTCGCTGCTTTAAAAAAAAAGTAATTTCTTTATAGATGAAGCAGACAATAGACTTATAGTAGATATGTTATAAATGTAAAAACTAGCTGCCCTGGCAGATGTTTGTGAATTTCCCTGGCTTTTCTTTCCCTATATTATAGTGATTTGGAACACAATGCCTCAACACATACAACGGATCGACTTATCTTAATACATTTTGGCTGTTTTGTAGTTGGATAATCTAAATAAACTAGATTAAATTCTAAGCATTCTAAAAATAACTTTTTTTTTCATGCAGGTCAATTTACTGTCGCAATAATAGTTTAAGGAGATTTAATATCTAATTTATAGGAGAGTAGTGGCTGAGAGCAGTAGTATCAACAACCTAGAGACTGCATATAACTATCACACTAACTTTGTTATGGTTCCCTCCCTGAATGTAAATTAATCAATATACTGTCTACTGAGACAGTGAGCCTCCACACATATTTTACACTGTACAATAACTGAGAAGATATTTCCTACAAATCGGTATACTAGTGCCTGTGACCATGTTGTATTTAAGCCAGATTCATCTCCATTTGGAGAACTAGTATCTTGTATAATATTTTGAAAGTGAAGGCAACACGATATTAAAATGCAGCCGGTGAATCCCAGGAGGCCGGCGTGCCCCTTCAGCGAGCAAAGGTCTCTGCACGCTGGCGATGTTCCATTGCTGAGGGTGAAAGCTGGTTCTTTTCTTCCATTTTAGCTTCGACACCTCTAGTATTGCCCCCAACAATAGCTGCATAAAGTAAGGGTAGAAAAAAAGCATCAATCCGCACATAGTTTTCAACAGTTTTTTTTCTTTTGTAAAGATTTGTCAATCAGTCATTTAGTTGAGCAGGTGAAAATAACCAAATGGTTTCTGTACAAACCGGTGGCATTCACTTTTTTTATACAGCATAGCCAACAGGATGGATGTAGTCGCCGATGTTGTGTGACACAATGACATCAAAGAGGATCCCCTCCGCATAGCCTCCGTTATAGGGACCTGAGATGTTTGTGTCGCTGAATATATATGACCTCCTGTCTTTACTTCATGACATTATCTTTAGTGATCAATCATGTTAGTCCTTTCAACAATATGTCATGATTGACACATTGCTTATTTAAAACCATTAAGACCATCATGTCACTTATAAATCAAAATGTGCAAAAATAAGTAATTCTGTCCATCACTTATTACTGTCTGCAGCTGGCAGACTATGTAAAATCCACAGCAAGCTCCACCAATCAAATGGCTAAAGGCACCCTGTGTGTTTCCGTAAAGGTAAAACCCATCAAAGTTTAATCAATCTTATATTTAACCTGCATTCTGTAAAATGGCAATCAAGGGGCGACTCCTTGATATATTTTTTTTATTTTTATTTTTTACCTCAATAAAAATTGTAAACATGAGTTTATAATCAATCCGTTTTGTTATCTTTAAGAGTTTTCCATCCCAGCATGTCGTTTGTTTTTCCAAACGGTGTTCCAGGTACAACGAGCTGCCATTTGGCGCTTTCTCTGACTCCACGCGCGTTGCCCGTGTTTTGTCATATTTAGAAGACCTAATCCTCATGGCTCCACGTCCGGTCAAGCTTGCACACCACATGTTGGAAGTCTTACAATACTTACCACACCGTGTTTTACCATAAGGCAGCGATAGAGTTCTCCGCTCCACACCCTCTTATTGATTTACCGAGGTGTGTCAACTCATTCACCATGAAAGTAAAGCTGTCCCCAGCCAGGCTGGATTAGCTAAACTCTGTCTCAAATATCCACCGACAGTGGTGGTGACAGCGCTGTCAGTGAGGCACCTGCTAGGTACGGCGTCTGCTAGCCATGTGATGGTCCCCCTGGGACTGGTGTAAAATCATTCAACAGGACATTTATTAAATAATAATTGCAAGTAGAAGACCGAGTTGACACACATACAAGTCATGCATCAAGGCTACTCAAAGGTCCCCTTCATCGCCGCTGAAATAAATAGTTGGAAGATAAACATACTACAACGGGGGGGCAGAGTGCTACTAATCTACCTTGCATGTAGACCATCACCTGCTACACCTCAGGCACCACGAGATTAACTGGACATTGACGCACAGACATCTCGACCGTCAGTTGACCCAGAACACGATGAATGTGTCTCTGTGTGAGAGAGCACAGACTCTCCGTCGTCTAAGAAATATTGACTAAGGCGAAACATTATTTAAGATTTCCCAACAGACTCCTTCATTTTGATGAGAATTCTGAAGACCGAATTATCCACGAAAGGTAAACGCTCACTCATTCCCTCACTGCAGTCACATCGGGCGTACTGGGTGTCCATCAGGGGGTTAAGTGACAGCACACGTGTCAGCGTTCGGGGACCCATCGCTCTCTGGAAGGGACGGAATATGCCGGTCCAGATTGGTGGATGGTAAATGGAGGAATCTCCCATCTGTTTACAAGCTGAAACACTTTGCTCCCCTATTGGAAAAACCAACATGTCGTGGTGGGAACAGATAACATTCAACCAGCGTACATCAGCCGTCAGGGCGGTGTGTCACATACGTTGTTAACATTCAGGATGAAATGCGTGTGCGCCGCCAAAGCACATCTCTAAGCAGAAAGCTGCAAGGAGCTGCAGGCACGGTGCTGACGCCCGGTGGGATCAGCGGCACTTGGAATATTTTCACATGGCACGAGTGCCGTTTGATTAAAGAATGTTTTATATTTCATTCCTGCGCTTTAAAGTTCACAGCACAGTCCATGTTTTTGTTTTGTGGAGCAAAGTTTGTTACCGTTAAGCCACGGATGATTTACTAAAGACACCAACGGAGCCTCTGTTCTCATTATTTTAGGTTTAGGCTGTTCCACACGGCTCTTTTCTCGTCTTTTATATGCATTTATCAGATTTGGGGTTTTCGGGTATGTTTGCTTTCACAAGTAGAAAACAGTGGGTAATTACAATGAGCATGGTTTTAATTTACAGTGGTGCTTAAGTAACCGCTTGCTACTGTGAGGTTAGTATGTAAATGTCCATGTAATGGATAAAAATAGACTGTAAAGTCAACACATTTTAAATAAATATATTATTCTGAAAGAAATGATGCATTTAATAAATTCAACCCCCCCGACGGAAAACATTAAAATGTTGCGCAGAGTGCCGGTAGATTTGATGCAGTGTCTGACAGCGCTCTGATGACACCAAGAACAATCACCATAATCTATACACGTTTTTACTTCCCACTGACAGCATCTTGAGCTCGACAATAGTCCCAAATGTAGCACTCCTGACTAAAAATGCACGTTCTAAAAATGAATATATCACTCATATTTCAATTGAAACGTCAATCAAAGTTAGTTTGCTGTCCACTTGGGATTAACTCACAATTTCCTCTCCCCTGAGACGTTCCCCGGCATGAGCGGTGATCACATACTGTAGCTGCAGCCAGACGGCGGAATGGCTGCGGCCACACGCGCCTTGGTTATCCCTCCTCTGTACTCCGTCAAAGAGAAGCCTCCAGTCACGGCAGAAGATGCATTACATCGCGGTGACATTTGAAATGGTCCCTGTGGTGCTCCACCATTGCTTTGACTGACAGACCAGCTTGGGAAACCGGTGCTGTCTCATAATTCACCAGATGCTCTGTGGTCCCACACGGTCCCTCTCATTCTGACATCCCAAAAACGCACAGAGCTCTTTTAATTAATTCTTTCTCCCCCCCAATTGATTCACTGTAGTTGTTTTACGAATTTTGTCTCTGCATTATCAACAAATGCACAATATTTTTTCCTTCAGCTAATTTAAACATGTGCAGTGAAAGCTGCTTGGAGAGCTCCATCCAGTTTTTAATCCATTTTTTATTCAACACTTTTATTCACTCTTCAATACTCATTCATACTGGCCTTATTATAGCTGAATAGCAAACCACGAATGTCGCCTCTCAATTGTTCATATAGTATCATTACGAATGGTACAGGAGAAAAATTACAAACCTCATACATGGTATTATAAAAGTAGCAATCATTTGTTAACGTTTCATACTTTAATATGGGTTTATCCATGCGTCTTTAATATATATATAAATATGATGTCACGCATTTTGTTATATTTAAGCACCTACTTAGGTTTCACATTCGCGAGATTAAAGAAGTGCTTGTCCCAAAAATAATTATAAGCCTCATCATTGTTAATGCATTTACTTCTCTCAGCGAATAATTTATACTTACAGGAGCCAAATCTCATTATAGTTCAAATATGTACAGCTCTTAACTCGAAGAAAATGAGAGTAACACATTGAGACACGAAAGCAATAAAAGCACTTACACTCATAAGCTAGTGCTTTAAATGTAGTGGTAATTTCAACTTGTTCAGAAGCCGGTTTTAAAAGTTTGATCTCTACGGTTATAATTTGCTTTGTGTTAAGACAAGTCTTTTTCTCAACCTCTTATTTTACGTGATGAATCGAGTTATTTAGTTTCACTTGTTCAGCAGAAAGCCATAAAGAGGCTAAACTAAGACTTAAGCACCGGAGGAAAATCTCCATCAGGCTGAACATCACAAGCTCCCCTGGCTGCCTTCAGAAGGACGACCAAACAGCCGTGTTGATCTACTTAGCCATCCTGCTCCTCAACCCCCTAATGAAGCAAGTCAAAGGAGCTCTTGGGTTTTGCCTCCCCGGCGTAACAATGTGTCACCCCGCTGGCTAGCGTTCCCTGCGACGCACACAGACACACATGCACAGTGATGCACGCACCCCCCCCCCCCCCCCCCCCACCACCCCCAAACCACTAACCCTCAGACCAATCTGTCTGTGGCACTAAAGTATTATTAGGCTTCTCTCAAAGGGGGAAACTGGGAGCTAGAAGATGAGATGTGCTGCAGGGGCAACTTGGTTCCATTGGCGTGGCATTCACCGCAGTCTTTCTTATCATCCGCGCTGGCGTTTTTTTCAGGATGTAGTGGAGCTCGGCGAACCATGACCATCTCATCTATCTTTCAGGATTTGAAGGAAGTTGGTGTGAAATTGACACCAACGAGTGTGGGTCAAATCCATGCCAAAATCAAGGCGACTGCGTGGACCGGGTCAACGCCTACAGGTAAAGCGGTTTATCCAGCTTCCCATTTCCGAAGCAAGAACAATGTCAGGCTTTGTAGTGATGACCTTAACGCATTAGTACATCCAATGATGTCATTTTGATTATCTCAATAGATTTCCTCTGAGCTCATGGCCTTTTTTTCAAATGAATTTTAATGGATTTAATAATGTTTCCTTTCAGGTTAAAATGAGGTGAAATTGTTCACGAAAAACGTTGCCTTAATTGCTGTTGTCATGCAGCTAGGTTCAAACAGTTTAAATCCACGCTGATGTCACTGCACCTTGTGTGCAATCAGATTATATATGATGTTTAATTAATATTACATTCCCATATTTTTAATATTCTTTTTTTATCCAGCTGTGATTGTAAGGTGGGCTTTTCTGGCCTTCATTGTGAGGAAGACATCAATGAGTGCAGCTCTGGCCCTTGCCTCAATTCTGCCGTTTGCCAAGACCTTGTGAACAAGTAAGTATTAATTATTTCCCTTTCATGGCTTCCGTATTGCTCCTTAACAATTATGTGTTGTGCACAAAAAGAAAAATGCCGACATTAGTAATGGCCCGGGCAGCTTTAACTTCCTGCATTCGTTTCCAAAGGCCAATGTGCACAAACCGTTCTCTGAAGAAAATGCACAAGGTTGTGGTGTTCCTCGTCAAAGTGTTCCGGTTTACATAACTAACCCGTCTTCACATCCTTGACACACATAAGCTGCCTTTCTAAAGACTGAGCGACTTCAGCAGGAGCACATCATGTATCTAGATTCAGCTTCACTCCACCGGTGCTTCTCTCCGCTGTGCTTAATGGGAGCCCCGGGGCTTCCGGGGCTTAGTCGGACAGATGGGTAGCAAAGTCCCAGGGCCGATTTGAGTCCTAAATGGTTTGTCTCCAGTTTGTCTCCCGTCATGATTCTTCTCCCATGTGACCCGGCCCTGCTCGGAGCGCTCCCCTGATTGCACAGTCCAGGGAGTTCACATCAGGTGTGCTTTAACCCCGCTGCCCACCGCAAACATCCGACATCTCCATCTCCCCCCGACCCAACAAGCCAAACAAGGCCACCTGCCGAATGACGTGACGAATCACGCCGCAGTCTACTCAGCGCGGCCATGCTGGCTTTTTTTTTTTTACTTTTCGTCTGCTCATGTAGATGCCACTAATGGCTGTTGACTAGCAGATTGTTACAGACAGCCGTGTGAACCGAGTGGATAAAGCAAGTGTTAATTGGTGTGGTGGAGACGTCTCTGATCAGTCCGGCCTTTTGAGTTGACGTTACTAGGCAGCACAATTCTGCTGTGGCATGATGAATGCCGTGATGTAATGTAAGTGGTCTCACTGATTTTTAAAACGAGGTCTTGCTAATCAAAAGATGTGGTTTAGATGTGACTAATGATCTGTTTCCTCGTTATCCCACTTACAAACAGAGCAAGCGGCTCCTCTGGGGTCTTTGGTCGGGATATTAGATCCTCCGACGGCTGCAGGCGCGGATCAGAAACGAGTAAACCGCATTATTCGACAGATGAAGCTCTTGAGTAATAAGTCACAAAATATGATTCAGGTTTTTTTTTTTGATTTTGAATTTTTTTTTATTTTGTGTTTGAGAATAGAAAATGATTCCTAATGTGTTGATTGCATCTAAAAGAGCTTTTGCAGTTTTTTACTGAGAAAATATACTCGTGCGTATTTTGAATCTATGCTGAGAAGTTAACACAAATAAAACGGCCTGGTCTTCGTTGGAGTTCACCGTGTCTCCTAATGATTGAGTGTTCTCTTCCTTAGGTTCCGCTGCGTTTGCCCTCCTGGTTATTTCGGAACGCTGTGTGACCTGGATGTGAACGAGTGTGAGGTTTCACCTTGCCTACACGAGGGCATCTGTATCAACACGCCCGGGGGCTTCAAATGTGTCTGTCGCCCCGGATACTCAGGTAGCTCCTTCCGCCCTCAGGTGACATGAAGATCAATACGAGAGTCCGACTAAAAAGCTTATCAACGCTGCTGCGGCCGCGCGCCATTGAGGCATCTCCGACACATCTGCATCTGGCTTAGTGTAAAAATCTGCTTTACAATACTTGCTTTTAATTACCCGCCTGCCTCCGCAAGATGCAGTGGTTGCCTTTCAGTGAAAGCGGCGAGATCGATTCACGTGGACAGTTTTTATCTGATGAAAATATTTCACTGTCTGTAAGTTTCATTCATTTCATCAGCTTACTTAGTCTCGTAGCGCTTATGTTGTTTTGCTTTAATCCGTTTGTCGTGTTTTCTACTCACGCGGATATCAAGCTATTTTAGAGCGTGTGTGTGTGTGTGTGTACATGTGTGCGTCTGCACTAAAGCCGATTCTTGTCAGGTAGCGGGAAGATTAATTTCATTTGTCTTCCACACTGTATCATCAATTTATCCTTCCCCATTTGAGAGGGGGGCGGGGTGGTGGGTTAGGGTTTGGGGTGGTCTCGGAGGTATTGCTACTCTGGAGAGCTGAACCTGACACGCATGGCCCAATTCCCACAGAAGCAGCTTTTATTATTAGGCCTACGCACAGCATAGTACAAGTCATTACTTTTTCTGTTACTCTAAGCTCATCTGAGGAAACAGGATTCCCCGAGAGAGCAAGCGGCCAGGGGGCACAGTTTGGATCGGCTAAAACCAACTAGAACTCGTGCAATATATTTGCTCTAGTAACACGTGTATCAGCATTGCAACTTTTTACAGAAAACACAACGGGTTTGTTGCCGTGTGTAACTTTTTCCAATGGTAAATGTGCCATCTGCGGGTGATTCATCACATCCTGTTTGTGTAGCCTGATTTGGAATTGATTTAAATGTCGCTGTGACGTGTCATCTCCTCTGTCTCTGAAGTACTGTAACTCGGTGTGGCACTTGATAGTATTATCATGTTATTCGCTTCAGCCATCAGGGAAGTAAAGTTTTTCTTTTTTTCCATATTGAATGTCAGCATTCATTTTGCTTTCTCAGTTGAAGCTGCTTGCTAATACTTCAGTGTCACGCTATATCTGCTCACTTCCATGGATGTGATTAAGCTGTAATGACACCTGATTCCCACCTGCATCACTATTCATATTGGATCGTCTTAGTGGCTGTTTGTTGGTCAGTGTGTCAGTGCCTCCATTTCTTATGTTTTTATACTTTTCTTTTTTACTTTGTATCAAGGCTCAGACCATTACCTGACTTTTCCAAACTGATTATTTTTTCTTTTTTACATACACATAAAAAAACAGACCATTATTCATTATTTTTTGATACCTTTGCCATCTTCTATAATTTGTTTTTAATAATTTTTACATCACTGCGACCCACCTGGAAGCTTTACATTAAGCTTGGGTAAACTGCTTTTTTTTTAATCGTTTCTTGTTGAAATGAATCCCCTACTTACGACAGCCTTTAGTTATGTCTCCGGCATAATCCCATTCTTTCTATTTGAACTAGAACGCCGTCTTCCAGGAGAGATGGACAAACCTGACCGTTATTCAGGATGTGGTCTCTCAAAGGCTCTGCAATCACAATAATGTATTATTTAACTGTGGTCTGTACTGAGGTTAAAGGTCATTACAGCCATATGATGAATGGGCAATCTTGTTTTATATAAATCACAGTTTAAGCACACTATTCCTCACCTTCTGTTTTCTCTTCACCCGTCATTAGGGGCTCGTTCCCTTGAGTGATCGCACAGTGCAATCAGCCCCTTGTTGTCCTCAGTCAGCACATTGGGGGGTGATGCTGCCGTCCTGGCAGTGCTGTCTGTTGTTGAGGCTTCAGCAGATTCCGTATTTCACCGGGTGAACTTAATGAAAACATTTGATTAATTTCTGAGACCAATTTAATAATTAATAAATTATTTTTATTATTATTGTTATTGTATTGTAATCCCATTCATAGTTAAGTCCTTTGATCCGACCTAAATAATAACATCAAAATAGGAGATGTAAAGGTGTGTTGAACAATTCAGAAAGGTTTTTTATTTTTTTGCAATCCTAAAGGTAAATTAATCTTTTTTTGGGCTGTTTTAAACAAATGGTTTATAGGGCAGCAACAGTTATGTTTACAGCAACAAATATTTATATAAAGTAGGTTTAGTTAGTCACTGGAAACAAATGTAAAATGTTAATAAAGTAAAGTTTATTAAGAAAACCCCAAATCTCTCATTTGGTCACAGTCTGTTTTTGACTCAGCCAGCAGAGAACTTTCCAAAAAAACGGTTTTGTTTTGCTCTTGTTTATATGTCCATTCGTGTTGCGCACATAATGTATCAGATTTTGTAACAAGCATATTTGCAGTCACTTCAGGTAGCCTTTGCCTGGTTCACTTCACCACAGCCGACTATCAAAGGCGCGTGACAATGTATGACATCAAAACATTCAAAGGTAGTGATGAACACCAGTGACTTTGGGGCTTAAAATTACCCAGAAAAATGAGTCACTTCTCTGGGTCTCTATGAAGAAGTGCTATACTTGTGTGTTTTCCCAACCTGTGTTTTGAGTTGTTGACAGAATGGAGGACGCATGTTGATAAGGTGATTCCTTCACCGCTCAAACTCCCCTCTCCATTTGTCCGCTTATCTCATTGCTGTTTTTTTTTTTTTTTTTTAAGGTCTCCATGAATAATAAATAGCTGTGAGTAAAACAGACTTACTTGTTGAGTCCTCGTAGCCCTTTTATATGTGGCTGATGGACAGTTAAGACATAAGTAACTTTAAGTGACAGTTCGTTCATCTCTGAGTCAGCACAATTGGTGCATCTCAGTGTGTACGGGGGTTTGTGTGGTCACGTGTGGGTTTGTGAGACATGGTACAGAGCTGTAAGGGTATGTAGGGCGCAAAGCATGCGATACACTTCCATAAGGTCAGAGCTGCATTTAACGAAATCCTCTCGGGGACGTTGACTATTCTTACAAAATAGCGCTAGTCTTTTATTGGGCTGGGGCTGTGGATATCATGTACAACATATTGCCACTCTGAATATAAAGTGTTTGTCATTGGTTTAGTTTATGTTGTTAAATAAAACAAAGCTGTTTGCTTGGTTGACCCGCTTAAAAAACAACAAAAAAACAAAGCGAGTAGTTTATGTAACTGTCAGACTCCTGCCTCTATCCTCACGTCATGGCAGAAGTAGCCACTAGGCGCTGTTTCGGGGACAAAACTGGGATTTTAAAGACGTCATGAATTTAAATTCAAGATTAATTCAAGATACAACTCATGAATTCATCGGTTGATCAATATTTTGAAGGAGTTGATCATATAATGAGTCAATAAATAAAAGTCCAAGGTGATATCTTCAGATTTACACAACATATAACAAATAACCTGATAAAACTGCGATATATTGTGATTTTAAGAAAGCTGCAAATGCTCATATTTCAGAAGCTCTAACTAATGGGTGTTTGCCTATTTTGCTTCATGAAACACATAATCAATGATCAGTTTTCCAAATGGTTTGGGATGCTTTCATCTGTTGATAAAAGAATTGATTCACCAACCTATCGTTTCATCTCTGGTTTAAAAATATTGGCCGGCACGGAGTCTTTTTATGAGCTATTAATGGCTCATCTGTCATTTTCCTTATGAGATATGTGCTTACTGCATATAACAAACTGTTTCTGTCCCTAGCCATTACTCCTGCTATCATCCACCACATAAGCCCTATCCATCTTTTGGAATTAAAATAACAGGTCTGAACAAGTTCACAATATATTTTGAAGACAACTACGGTGTAAAGCTTGCTTTGATTCACTGGATATTGATGATTAAAGCTAACGTGTCATATGTAATAACAAAGTACAAGATAAAGGCACTTTGAATTAGTTTTTTTCTCATTGCAAACCCTTTTTATTAAAAACATTCAAGTCATGTTGACAGTAATAGTACAATAATATGCAAGCAAGAGGTAACATAAGATAAAAAAGCAGAAATCCTTTAATTAACAGTAGACAACTCTCATCCCATCTTTGTTTGCTATCCTCGCCAATCTTTGATAACTTTACATCAAAGTTTACTAAAGAGACCAGCGATTAAAAACACGTCATGTTGGTGAGGCAGCTTTATCTGCACAGCATGCGGCTCTTAGGAGACAGTGTTTTGATCTCAAAGGACCAAACAAGTGCCATCTTGCAGTTGTTCGACGGGTATACGCATCATCTGACCACTCATTTGAGTGGTAGTTGAAAATACGAAATGCAAATTCATTTAATATAAATTATGAGTGTAATACGCTTCAGAATACTATGATGGAAGTATATGACAAATTTAATGCTAAAAAATATTTTACCACTCAACTAACTGATCACAAATACACACAAATAAAATAATTTGGAATTGATCGCGTCGTCTCATTTTTCAAGACTCCAGTTTTAAGAGATTTTATTGTCCATTGAAGCATACATTGCTCACTGCCTGCTACGTTGACTCTACATGCAGCGGGATGCATTGATCACCAGCAAGTCTGATTTAGCTTCAGCCAAGACGGCAACAACTGCAGGTGGTTTTCACCGGTTGAAAAGCTGTGAATTTTGCCCTTATGAAATTACTAAATGTACTCAAATGATCGTTTTCACATCTTTATTCTCTTTATTAATAAATCCAGTACCTCTTGAGCAGCAAAACATAGCGAGTCATTTTCTTATTTAATGTGAATTGTTTGAACGTTATCTTTGCTCTTTTCTGCAATGCCACAAGGATAATGTCGAAATGTGACAAGTGGTGAGATATTGGCATGGATGGATCTTGTGTCTCGAGTTTATGGTCTTTTATAAATTGATTTACATATCTTACAGTTTTCATAGTGCTGATTTTTATCTTTTTATATTCGTCGCTCATTTCCCCAAACATAACCAGTGTAGTCTATTCCTCTACGATGTATACAACACAGTTTTGATCCAGAGGTGTTGCATCTAGTATCTAGATGGCAAAGACTTTCATTGGTTCTTTTTAACTCAAGTTGTTTAATTCGTAATGTCTTAAAATACCCTTCACTTCCTAGGCGCACGGTGTGGAGTTGACATCGACGAGTGTGTTGCAAACCCATGCCGAAATCGTGGGAAATGTATTGATGCGCCTAATCAATACCGCTGCCTGTGTGTTGATGGCTTCACCGGGCTGCAATGTGAAACCAACATTGAGGAATGCTCGTCCGCGCCTTGTCTTCACGGGAGGTACAACATTTGCTGTCGTTTGGAAGAGAAAGACTACAAAAGGGTGGAAATTGCATGGAATTATTTGTAATTACACTCCTTCCCAGCGCAGTGAGTCGAGACATGTCACTTGCTGTATAGTCTCTAAATCATTATTTCCATAAAATGGGAAATACTCGTTTAAGTGATCCTATCTGTCTTTAAGGATTCTGAATGAACTACAGGGCTAAATATGTGCGTTTGGGTTCCTTTCATACTGTAGTAGATTGTTGACGAGGCGATCTGTTGTGTCCTCCTCAGGTGTGAAGACGGAGTAAATTCCTTCTCCTGTCTTTGTGAATCCGGCTGGATTGGCAGCAGATGTGAAACAAACGTTGATGTGAGTTGAGCTTCATTAATGAACCTGCCGGGTGTTCAAAAGCCTTCCAAGCTTTATGCGGCTAATATTAACGTGGCCTTTCGCGTCACCAACTCTACTGATTGATTGTTGTGCAGCATGAGTCAGTTGAACTACCAGGATCATGTAAGCATTGTACAAATACCTGATTAAAATAAAAAGCTGTTGAGTGCAGCATTGATTTAAACCACCGCTTGTGTTGAACTCCAGAGATAAAACATTGAGTTACAATGTTGGAGTATTTAGTTCAGTGGATAATGTGATCATCTGCATTTTAACTTCCAGCTGTTCTTTCGAAACCAAAGTTATGACGTTTTCTTGTTTTAATGACATTATGCATTTTAAGCTGTGAAATTGTTCATGTCACGGTTGTATCTGTCAAATCTGTTGTTGGTAAAGTGTCTTTTTAATTTCCAGGAATGTGCTTCCAGCCCCTGTTTGAATGGAGGCTCGTGTGTGGATCTCATTGATAAATATGCTTGCTTCTGTCCGGATGGCTACACAGGGAAAACCTGCATGAATGATATAGATGTCTGTAAAGAAGCCGCTTTTAATGTCTCACTCTGTTTTAATGGAGCCTCCTGCATCGACGGAGAAGGATCAAACTTTACATGCAGGTGAGTTGGACCATTCCTACAAGTATGTTATTGCTTTGATGAAAGGCCACTGAAACAAACTGAGTGAAGAAGGTGGATGTGGTAGCAGGTGTAATTTGCAAGCGTCACAAATGCACTGGTATAACGATCCAAACTTTTAAAAACGTAAAAAAAGTGTTTGTTATTCTCTAACTAAAAATAATGTCTCTCCAGAATGGTGCTGCTGCATGTGTTTGCCTTGGTATACAGCAGCGGGTTTGTTCAGTGAATCACATTAAAATCGCTGAGATGCAGTCATGATGAAGTGTATCTGAATTCAACGCGTGTGCAGTAAGTCTGTGCAGATTTGACCCAGCAGTCCCTTGGATGTATTGCAGTTAATTTCATGTCAAACCTTGTGCTTATGTGCTGCTATATGCTCAATGTCATTATTTTATGTATGGCTTGTGCATTGGGTGCACTTTAAGATTCTTTGGACATCAAATTAGTTAATTATGGTCCTTGGAACTTGTCGTTGGATTATTTAGATTCAGCAATCAGTCAAGATGTTTTGATTTTACTTATTTAAAGATAAAATAAATTCAAAGCATAGATATAGCTGTTGAATGACAGCAGGTTCCCATCTTGTGTTTTCGTGAGAAGATACAATGTTTTTATTTGCATTTACATTAGACTGACTGCAGGTCACCTTCTAAGAATGTTTTGTACATGCCACATATGTTCCACATATGTTTTCCACTTGAATGGAGAGGTTTGATCGGGATAGCGCTGACAAGTCTGCTGAAATATGAAATCAGTCAGGCAATGGATTCTATGCCAGACAACATCTGTAATACATGAATTACATTGTTTTTTTTAATTTATTTTTACATTCATGTGTTCCCTTTTTTGGCAAAAAAGGTCTAAAACTATGATCTTACTAAAATCGATTTATTTATTAAATTTCAAAAAAAACGTTGTGGTTATTCTGATATCCTGCATTGTTTTTTTTACATTGTTTTGCTTCTGTCAGTTTTTCTGATGTCACATATTCCTAAAGATGTTCACGGTCTGATGACTGTGAATTGGAAATCCATCCAAGTCAGCAGTTCCTTTGGCCTCAGGTAGCTTTGATGCATGATCAGGCTCATTGGCCATCTGGAAAATGACTTCTCTTCTGCAAAACCTAAAGCCAGTGGGGACGACATTTGCAGAATCGAGCGGTGCCTCTTTTTGCTCAAGCTGTAGCTCATCCTCTTCAGATCACCAGCACCGCAAAAGAAAAACAATTCCCACACATGTATAGTACATTCTCACTTTCGTTACCTGTGGATTTTATGCACCGATATGTTTTATCCTCTTAACCTTCTTCTTGAGTTTAGGGGCAGCACCGACCGAAGCAGTTAAATGCATAAAATAACCACATCAATTTGTTTATTGCATCAAAGCGTTTTCACTTTGTCAGGAACTTTTATTTCAACAAAAAACATTTTTTTTACTAAATTATGAAACGCTCTTGTTAAAATTATGACCTTTTGTGTTGTTGACCCAGTTATAATAATTAGAGCAAAGACTGAAATGACAAGTGCGGTGTCGACCAACACACTGAGAGTGAGCTTCAGGGACTCTCATTGTTATCCATTAACTTGCAGTCACCCACTGACCAAGAAAAAGGCCCAGAGGCTCACACCAAAAAAATTAAAACCAATATTTTCAGGGATAAGGAAGCCTAACAAGGTAACCAAGAGATGTGAAACAATTTGGAAGCTTAAAAAAAATGTTAAACCTTTTTTCAGCTGCAGCTGATCTAAGACACGGGTTAAAAAACGAACCGTTAACATAAGAGATGCTAATGCAAGAGGAAGGTTGAATAAGATCTCTAATTCAAAGGTTTAATATTAGTCTATGTAGGACATGGATGGTATTGAAACACCCCGTGTCAGAACTCCAAAGTACTTTTCCATTGGTTCCTCAATGTTTATTTGTGGATTTGTTTGTCATCTGAATATTCAGAATGAATCAATGTGCTCGCTGGACTAATTGATTTCTATTTCTTTCTTAGAGAATCCCAGTTGTTTTTATATAGTACAGGAACTGTTGGGCTCTACAGAAAGTTTCTTATTTCTCTGTAGATGTAGACTTAGTCATTTGAAAACAATACATTCAAGTCCTTACGATTTATAAGAACAATATATATAGCTTGAAACTATATGTTAATTCGAAGCAGCTCCTTAGTTTCAGTTTGAATTGAATCAGCTTTACTGATTTCCCTCCCTTTTTTCATTGCAGTCTTTTTTGAATAATATACTTCTTTGAAATAAGAAAATACTACTGACTAGTTGGTTTTTTCATAGGAATAAGGTAAACAGACAGTTTTAACAGATGCATTTTTAGGACCGACTAGAAGGAAGTGAAGGTGCTGCAAGAAAGCATCCTAATTTATGAAGTATGATGTGTTTTCTTAGCTGTCCACCAGGTTTCATGGGGGATTTCTGTGAAGTGGATGTTAACGAATGTTGCTCAGCTCCCTGCCACAACGGGGCCGTTTGCCAAGATCTTATTAATAGCTACGTCTGCCACTGCAGGTCAGGTGAGTCCGTCAGACATCCTGTGAGTTCCTCAATTTACTTAGAAATGAGGCAACCAAAGCAGCTTTTTTTTTCTCCTTTTATACCACCTGTTTAATGAAAGCCCGGACAAGATTTATAAGATGGAGCCTTAATAGACAGTTTGTGAGTCAGTCCACTTTGCCCCGGATGTGTTAAAGTAGAGCTTCCCTTATGGAACATCTTAATCCTTAAAGAATGGCCATATTGGATTGAAATAGTCCACTTGCAGTATTACTAAAGGTTTACAATTCTCCCGCATAGCTTTTGTGCCTCAAAACCCATTCTCAGGTCATCTTCTTTTCTCTAGGGGGAAATTTGTAGACATATAGTACTAAGAAAGACAGTGAAAAAAGACGATGCGGTGTTGGCTCATTAAAATGTATGTGGCATCTTACTCTTTAGTGAAAGCCTTTTCTTGTCTTTGTATGTGTGTGTGAACCCCCAAAAAAGAAGCAAATCAATGTGGGAGAATCTGATTGATATTCACTTCAGAGGGTGGAAGTGGGAGAGCCCGGGCTCACAACGGCACTCTGTGGGCTTTTGTTCCTGGCAGGTTGGACAGGCCTTCACTGTGAGGATGACATTAATGAGTGCCTTCCACAGCCCTGCAACCAGGGGATATGCATTGAGAATGATCCGGGATACGGCTACACCTGTTTCTGTCATCCTGGATTTGTGGTGAGGCTCCCCACCTTATTCCCCAACTCCTCGTCTTTTTTTTTTTTTTTTTTCTTCTTTTTATTAACCTTTTCCCTCTTGCACCCTCCAGTCTTAAATCCTCTCCTGGCACGTTCTTACTAGGTCATCAATTATTATATTCCCATTGTAGCAACATAAGATTCCTTAACTTCTGATATTACAAACAATTTACATGACTTTGGATAAAATATTGAACATTCTAAAATTAACCTTTAAACGTTTTTGAATCGTTAGTAATCAGATTTGATATATTTATGGTTTTGAAGTTTTAAAAAGCCTTTTATATAACCCCCTGCTCCCTACTTAATGCAAACGTAATTATTCAAATGTATCGTATTTAGCATCTCATTGTAGAGTTATGGGACACAGCTGTCTATTTTCCATACACAGGGGAAGAACTGTGAGCACAACTATGATGACTGCCTGTTGAATCCATGTCCAGAAGCGTTTTCCTGTGTAGATGGCATCAACAAGGTCAGCTGCCTGCCTCCCACTACGGATGCGGTTACCTTGGTGACTGTAGTCAAGGATTCCACTCGCGGCGCCACACCGGGGGTGCCAACACTCGACGTGGCGAAAGCGGCGGAGAGGGCTGCAGGTATGTAGTCGGGTAAATCCATTTTATGGTACTTTTTATACTTTATTACTTAAACTCAATTAAACTAATAGCTGCGAAAACTATTTCCTTCTCATTTAATGTTTTTTTCTTTATTTTTATTTTTTTTAGATTGCAGATTAATATCAAAGACATTAAAAACTCGGAAGTAACACAGCAAAGAACCCAATTATTTTAAATATTTTAGATTATTCAAAGTAGCCTCCTTTTACTTTGACACCTTTGTACACTCATGGCATTCTTTCAGTCAGCCTCATATACACACACACCTTATGAGGCTGACTGAAAGAATGCCATGAGTGAACAAAGGTGTCAAAGATTATATATATATATATATATATATATAATCTCAGGGCTGGCAAGTCAATGCAGTGTTATCGCTGTAACGCATTAATTGGCTCGGGATGGGCGTTGTCGCACGTCTCAACTAATGAGAGCATTTGGGGGCGGGCCTAAGACCACTGCAGCGCTCGCGTGAACCAACTGGTAGGGACAGAAAAATGGAGAAAGGCAGCAAACTGTGGACATTTCCATTTTAAATCTCTTCCAGGTGGCGCATTGGAAAGAACCAAAGTTATTTATAACCAGCATCACTGAAAGTGTTTTTTTAAATTTTGTTCCACACAAACAAACAATGATAACAGACTCTGACTTTCTCTGCCCAAGCACGAGCCTCTTGTCTCTCTGAGATTACTTTGTAGTGGTCCATACCGTTCTTTTGAGTTTCCTTTTTAAACCGTGGGTCCGGTGCCAATTATCTGTTTGGCAGCGAGAATTCTTTGGAAGTGAAAGGAAAGGTTCTTCTGCTGTTTCTACTTTTACTTAAGTAAAGGTTCTGAGTAAATACTTTTGAGTACCTACATATTCTGCTCGTTTAAGACGACTTCCTACTAATTGTGAAAGACGTGTGAAACTTCAAAGGCTGCATATGTTTAAGAAGTTGCAATTACGCATCAGTTCAAATTAGTTTCTCGAGTTCATGCTGCTTCTACATACTTTTGATGTTCACTTTCCTGTTTGAGTGCATTATTTTTTTGGGGGGGGCAATCTAATATGGTTATGAATTATATTCACATAGTGCGAAACACCGACTCATTTGGAATAAGGAATGTGGCAGTGAATCAAGTCAAATTAATGTTTCTCAATCAAGTCTTAACCCCCATTACAGAACTGTTCCTTCAATTCACATAAAGTGTGCAAGAAAGTGACACCAAATTACATCCATCAATTTGTACTGATGGAGGTCCAGAGATTTCTTTTTCTTCTGGCGGATTACGAAGCCATCCTTCCTTTGCCCTTCCCACCAAACGGTTTTCCACAAGGTTTGCCAGTTTCGATTGAGAGGAGCTTTCAATTGAGCCGGTACTGCAAATGTGATTTTACAGCCTTTGGGACATAGAAAGCGATGATATATTAGGTTTGATTGAGAGATTGTGGTAATTTTGTACTGCTCTGGTGACAGAAAATCCTGTTAAAATCTAGTTTTGTATTGGCCACTAAAATCCCTCTTCTATTTCAGTTTGAGAACAGTAATTTGACAATGGTAGATCCAATCATTATTTGTTGCTATATCCTTTAACACTCAAATGAAGACCCTGAACACAATACGTTATACATTATTGGTGTTGGATTCAGTCGTCCATGTGAGGGGAGGAATTCGGAGCCCTGGGCAGATTGTTACTCTTTGACAGATGAGGTCTGTCTACCTTTGAAACTGCTCACGGAGCTGTAAAACAGACCTATTGAACAGAGACAAGCTTGAACCAATTCAGAGAGACACTCCGAAAATCACTTTGGGCCAAACATAATGGAGTTCTACCCGCTGCACCTGATCCAGCTCTCATCCAGTGCAGATTGCATTGGTTTGAAGAGGATTAAGACACAGGTGAAGAAAACAACAAAAAAACAAGCATGCACTGAAACATTTCTTTTCTCTTTTTACACATAGGTGCATAATCACAGTTAATACGTTTCAAAGCAAGGGGACCCAGAAACTCATACGTTTATCTAACTGGGTCACCATCTAAAAGAATGCAGTGCCCTTGGTGCTGCTTGAAATAGACTCTGACAGCGCTCCTTTAAACCCAAGATTGCTCCACAACCTTTGCAATAGTCAATTGGAATGTTTACATACGGGGGCCCGACGCACAAACTGACAGATCACCTTAAATATTGATCTGGTCAAAATGTTTTTATTTATTTATAACTAGTAGCTGCGTAACAATGATAACATATACAAATAACTGATTTTCAGGGCGTCTCCCCCCTCCGCCCCCCCAGCTCTAAACATTCAATGCTGAGCTCCCCAGTATTTCTGCTCTACAGTATGAGAGCTGATGGGTATCTGCAGAGGACACTGCTGGTGGAGGAAGGCTTACTGCGGCTAAGCCACAATTTGGTTGACTTTCCTTGGAGTGATCAGCACAGGTGAAGCTGTTATCTTCTGCTGCCATGTGTGGCAGGAAATAAATTACTTAAGCTCCTGAAATTCAAGTTGATGAGTAAGAGGTTGGTCCTTTTTTTTTTTTTTTTTTTTTAAACATGCAGCGCCTCTCTTGGGCCGGTCACCTGGTTGACCTTCAGTTTCACACGTGAGCACTTGTTCTGTCTATTGCTAATAAATGTTAGCGTTCCTGTTGGGGAATAATTTAACAGTATGCATGTAACCGTTTTGATGTATTTAGTGAATCAGCTGGTGAGTCATAATGACGTCCAAATGTTGTTCACAGTTCGGTTAAGAATATTCACTGAAAAAAGCTCCTGTAGCTGAAGTAAAAGTTGACATTTTAGCTGCACTTGATGTGCTGTTTTCTCGTGTACAGTAGCTGTCATTCCTGTCCCCTGACAACCAGACAAAGACGTAATTACACAATATATTGTTAAATGGACATATTATATTTAGGATTTCATTCCACTGTGTATGTCAGCAGTGGAACCATTTTATCCAAATCTTCCTACATCACATGTCCTGAATGTAAGATCTTTTAAAGGTAAAGGGGTCCTAAGAAGGTCCTCACCAGTGTTTTATCTCTGTCCTGTGACAAGTTCAATCTGTTAACTCTGAAATAAATCAGGGAGGAAAGAGAACTTACGTCCTGCCTTTTTTTTAAATAAATGGGACATTAAGTCTACACCAATTACATCTCGTTCCCCAAACTCTATCCTCCTATTAAGGTATCTTAAGCTTGTATTTTTCCAATTATATTCTTCAAGGGAAATGTCTTGTGCTTTAACCTTTTGCATAAAGTCTGTGCTGCATCATTGTACGCCACCTTTCCAAGTAACATTAAATATGACTTATATCTTTTATGGACATGTAATAGGACCCAAATTAAATCTAAAATGAAAGATTTATATCAAGGAATTTTGTACTGTGACAAGGTTTTCCCTCCTATTGAAACCAGAAAAGCTTTTGAGCTGGATCCAGTAGTGATGACGACGAACATGTTTTTTTTTTTTGTCAGGGGATTGTCCTCAAAGTATTGGTCGCGTTGCTCTCCTTAAGACGTGGGGGTATTTAGGTTACCTTGTTTGTCAGATCAAAGCGGGTGTAACCCTTTGGGAACAAATATTGATAAAGGTTCTAATTTGCTGCCGCGCGATTTAATTATGGCAACAACTTAAAAGCAGTTTTGCTGAATTTTCGAATGTACTGATTTTTCTTTTGGATAACCGCAAACAGACGGGTGCCTCCAGTAATGCTTTTCACTTTAACAGCCTCTCGGTTTGACTTTTCTTCAGCAAATTGCACTGCTTCCTTTCAGATGGGAAATACATTGAGCATGGGCGCCCCTGATGCTCGCCTCCAATTGCAGTCTGTGCTTCCCCAAATAAGCTTGCGGCCACTGGAACTTTAACTGAAATATTCCGTAATCGCCCATTCTCATGGTTAATATGAACCCCGTCATTCCACTATGAAATGAGGCACGTAATGCACGTGTATGAATACGTTCATTTCGGCCAAGATTGCTCTCCCGCCTAATGTACGGTCATTTGCATGCTTCACATCTTTTTGGCAACCAACACTTTTTACAGTATGCCTGTAAAGAGAGCATGAGGGGCGAAAAAACTCTGAGGCTACTAAGAGCTTTTAAATCAAATGAATACTTATCTACTTTTTTTGCTTCCCACACGATCGCCTGCGCTGTAGATGTGTCACTTTAAGCTGTCAGTGTTTTTGTCGGCCACATTTTACATTTTACACAACATGGCTGAGGAACGTTGAGTGAACTGGATTTCATATATTCTTATTATTTTGAATAATAGAATGATGCTGGCTGTGTTTTATCCCCAGTACAACTATAAACATAATCATTTTGCACAAGTCATTTCAAGCTATTTAAGTGTGCCGGTGACGTGGCCTAATGAACTAAACAATTTGAACCAATCCAAATGAAGAAATAAAACCGCATAAGATTGCCACATTTGGATACCAAGAGAATATGATCACTTTGTACATATTTAATTCGAAACAGAACAATTCATTTTGAATACAAAATTGATTTAGATTAATACGTTATCTGTATAATATAGAATTGGATTCTGTTTATTAAATATTTTGATTATTTAGCAGTGACTTGTTTGTTTGGCAGTTAATCCTGTGGGTGAAGGAGTTCCTTCTCACGCCATTGCGTTGTAATAAAACTCAACAACATTATTACTTGGGAGAGTTTAGCGGGAAACAACTGCCTATCAAAACAAATCCCAAAACCACCATGTATTTGATAGCTGACTATGGTGAATGTTGACCTGCGTTAGCAGATGTGTTTTGTTGCCGGAAATATGATCGTAAAGGGTTGTTGAATGGCTTAAGCAGGCAGCTGCTTTACTTGCTTCACCCCGTTTCAACCTTTTGTTACTTAAACCAACTCAAATCCCCCTCGAGGCAAGTCAGCTATTTTAGTTTTTTCGTTTGGTATTCCAGAGGGAAGTCTAGCATTTGACTTGTGGCTTGACCGATTACATTCTAGGGCTATAACCTGCCTCACCGAAAAGCAGAGGAGGCCATGTAAGGTTAAGAAGCTTTGTTTCATTTATTTAATGATTTAAATATTTAAGTTTCAGCAGCTGTGATGAGGTCTTGTCTTGCACGTGTAGACCGGCCAATAGGAACACTTGAAAAGAGACTTAAGACAATGTTGTTTTCTCTGTCAATTTCAATTACAATATGCCTAAACGTTATGGTATTTCTTACCAATGCTGTATTTATTTGATCAAATCTCTAATGTATTTTATATACTGTAGGCATAATGGCACCCATGGGAAGTAAAATAAAGAGTATTGTTAGTCCAGTTAACAGTCACTAACTATTTAACTAAATATAATCAACCGTAATGCCAAAATAGTTTTTTACCCATTTTCGCAGATGGATGTGGAGAAAACATGGAGAAAATTATCCTTACCTAACTTTATTTAAACAAAGTGTTTTCCACAACCGATTTTAGAAGGATTTTCCCTGTGAATCCTTTTTATTCATGTATTCTTCAGCCATAAACACAGTAGAGGATCACAACAAAGTAGTATCAGCTGCACAGTAACAAAACCAACAAAAGTCCATGTTGAAGCCTCCGTGGCAACAAGCATCAGCCCTGCTCATGTGTCCTTAGCTGGACTACATTTTTACTAATTGCGAGCTTCCCTTGTGAACGTCACCCTGTGCACTGACCTCCATGTGAACGAGCGCAGAACCTTTTTTGAGACCTTTTACCCAATTTTCTGCTTTCTATATTTTTGTATTTCCCAGATTCCAGCTACATTCAGTACTTTGGGAATTCATACATGGAGTTTGACGGCATTGACCTCGGCGAACTCAATAACGTTACTTTGAGATTTCAAGCTCAAGTAACCCACGGAACTATACTTTATGTGGACCAAGGACCCGCTAACCAGGATTTCTTTTTCATGAAACTATTTATCCTGGATGGAATCCTGCAGGTAATCACTCGTCTTATATAGTTATTATGGATGATTGTATACTAGTTATGTAATCACTGCATTCATGTATAAGGCAATGACTCTTGCACGGTTTCTTTCAGTACCAATTCTGCTGCAGCTACAAGGAAGAGGTTGCTTGGATTAATACATACATTCACGTCAGTGATGGCAAGGTTCACATTGTTAATATCAGGTATGTTCCACTGCAATGTGTTTTTTTTTTTATTATTTATACCTCTGAATTGATCAATTAAATCTGCATGTTAGAGCTTTTTCATTTACAGGTTTTATTTCCACACGTCACATCAACCCAGATGTAATGTGTTATGGATCTCCTTTATCAACATTTCTTTTTCTTAAAAAAGAAAAAGAGGCACATTAACAGTACGCTACTTACAGAGTGAAAAATACGAAATGTGATCAAATAGTGTTAACACCTCAGGTGGTACTAACTTGATCCTCGCTGATCCACCCATTTCAAGTGGGCCAGGCCTTTTTGTAGAAAAGGGCTTTAACTAATTCCGGGGGAAGCTATATAATTGGCAGGAATCACCAGACTGCGAATGTAGATGTTATTACAAATGAGCAAATGGGCTTACATTTTAAAGAACTAAAGCAAACGTCAGAATGTGCCTATTAAAATGCATTAGTGATCACAGACCATGTTTTATTGGCCGTTCTAAAGTCTTCATTTGCAGTTTTTCATTACGAAAAGATTAACAAGCAAGAGCCAAGCACAAAATCAATGTTTAAATGATTTAAAGTGAGGCTGTGGCCCCTTTAGTTATATTGTTCCTAAGCTCATGAGCAATCTTGCTGCCGGTCCTCTCCATTATGTCCTGACATAAGAAAAATGTGGTTCAGTTTCGAGTCGCAAAGTTTTTTGTCTATGAGATGGAAGCTGAAACAAAGCGGCTTAAATTCAACTCACACCAAATAAGTTTACTTTGTATTTGAGGGGAGAGGATTCATCGTCGCAAAGAGGCCTTTTTATCTGTTCTGTGTGAGCGGACTAAATCATTTATAAAACAACATTCTGTTTTGTTAGACTCACCTAAAAAATGAATACACAGAGAATGACATGCATTACGGGTATTCTGAAGATTACGTTTTTCGAAGAAAAAAAAGTACTGAAGGTGATTTTGAACACACTGTAGCAAAGGTGAGCAGGTGATCTCCTGTGGAAACGAGGCTGATTGTAAAGGTTGCCTCATGTTTCTTGGCAGAACGCTGCACTGCCCTAAATATGCGGGTGCAGCTACAGAGGCCAATCAAGTCGAAGGGGTGGCGAGGCTCCACCCCTGTTTTTTTTTTTGTGTGTTTTTTTTTCTGCTGTAAAAATACAACAGCAGTACGAATCAATCATAATGTTCTGCACCGACCCCTTGGAGACATTGCAAGAAAGAGAGCTGTCATAACCAGAGGGTCGGGAGAATGGAAAAATGGTTCCTGGTGTCACAAAGCAAATTCTTTGTAATTGTCTGACGGCCGAGTCCGTCCATCTTTGTCCGGTTTGACCCAGAGCTACGGCGCCGCGGCCATCCTCAACGTCACCGCCTAACTCATTATAGACTTTTAATATATCTTCCCCGTCAACGGCGCTTTTCAATATGTTAAATAGAAACCCAGTGGGGCTGACTTCTCAAGGACGTTGAGCACAGTGCCCTCTGGCTGCCGGCCAGGCCGCCGTGGCAGACTGCTTCTGAATTAACCGCCTCTCCACGCTGGCTCTCGAGGAAGGACTTGTGCAGCTCCGAGTGTTTAGCCGCCATATGCAACAGCGTTGGGAAGCACAGCGCTTAACAAATCAGACTAGATTGCGGAGCTCGTAACTTCCACTCAGGTGTCGAGAGACACCGGAGAGGAGACGTGAGCCTCGGGTGGCCCGAGGGTCCTCGAGCTGAGGATGTGTTAGTCCAGAATCTGTACTTGGGTAATTATCAGTTCTCCCCTGTTGTTTGGAAGTGAAGAATCGGTTTCTGGAATCCATGAATGGCTGTTGCGTGGGTCCGAATGAGTTTGGGGAGGACAGGAAACCCAACCGGAGGACAGCGGTCGCACCGCAAAAGGATTAGTGATCAATTTATTTTTAAACCGAGTGCACAAAACAATTCCACTTATGTAACTTGTACGTTTTAAAATCCCAGCATCTCTGCACGCTCTACGGCCCAAACCACTGTGATGAGATGGTGTTTATAAATGCAATGATTTATGCAACGTGAAGTTGTTTGTCTCTGTAGCAGAAGTTCAACTCAGACGCCTTTCTCCTGAACTTAGAGTCTGAAAGTGCTTTTTTATAGTCGCAAAATGCTAAACTTGATTTCTTGAAAGGAAGTTATTCTCAGACACTACAGCACATGGATATTGTTATTACTGAATACATGGTGATACGTTTCTATAGAAGGAGAACATAGTCATGTTATTAACAATGTTTGCTGTTTGTTTGACGTGTCCATGCTATTTTACAGACAACACCTGACTCCTTGTGAGGCAGAGCTCACCCTTTCTGGTCATGAGAAAATCCGAATTACGGCGAGTAATTACTGGGTGGGAAACATCATGATAAGAACAAACCACGTCTTCATAGGTGGCCTGCCACAACATCTACCCAATCAGGTACGATTTGCAACTATTCGTCTATTAACTATCTACGTTAATAAAAAGCTTCTTAAAACACGCATATCCGTCGAAGTTACATGAATCATTCATAGAACAAAAGAAGGAAGAAACTACCTAATTGTCCAAAACATGTTTTTCCCTTAGAGAGCGAAACCTTTCTTCAACTACACGGGCTGCATTGAAGTAATTGAAATCAATAAAAGGAGGAGCTTTTATATAGCTGATGCCATCGCCGGCAGCAACGTAGGCCGATGCAGGTAAAGGGAAATTCTCCATCATGAGCTTCTCTTTTCAATTTCATTTTCACATTTGTAGTTTTTTTTTTTTGTCAGCAAAACAAGGTTTTTAGTTCTCCTGGTCTCATACATTAGAAATCCCTTTAACCTTTTTTTTTCAAATTAATTACTTAATTAAGTACATACACATGCTTGTCTTGTTTGATCTGATGCCAGTGATGGAAATCCACACTTATTGTTATAAGTAATACTACAGTTTGCCTATCAGTCTGTAACTGTTATATCAAATTGGTCTATTATGTAAATGACTGTTCTACATATCCTATATATTGAGTATTTCTGGCAGCAAATGAGTTTAATTCATATCTTCAGGCTTAAAAGCAAAAAAATAAAATGCTCAATTTGATTTTTGACCCACTTCAACAACTACAAACTAACATTTTACAGAGACACTCATGTCATCGAAGCCTCAACGAGAAGCTCTTCAAACTGGACAACTCGACCCACAAGCTTTGACACAGTGAACACAACAACAACAACAACAACAACAATTGTGGCTCCCACACAAAGAGCGAAATATCCTCTGCAGGAAACTAAAGTTTGCCACAACAGTCTTTGCCGCAACGGAGGAACATGTCATGAGCTGCAGCTGCCTGGCGGAGCTCTGCCTTCCTGTCACTGCCTGCTTCATTTCTCTGGCGCATACTGTGAGAAAGGTATGCATGGATGTTTACCGAAAGATTGCTACACATTTTTTAAGAGAGCCTCAACACTCGACGTAACATCGGAACATTAATCCATTGAACACCATAAACTTATATTGATGTATATAAGCGGTGGTATGTGTGCAGGCGAGCAAGCAGCCTCCGCGACCTCCATAGTTGCATTATGAACAGCCAGCCAACAAATTACGTTGTTTAATATGTGCTGAGCCTCTTTGGCTAATAGGTTTCACTACCACGGGAAAATAGAGTAAGCCACATTAGGAATTTTTGAGCGATGTGAATTATTCAGGATGCGATTAAAAAAAAATGAAAGATCCATATAAGCAGCTTGAAGCGTCGCCGCGTGTCCATGTTCACCTCCGGCGCTCGTTGAGAATGAGAACGCGACCTTGTAGCGCCCGCTCAGCGTTGGGCTACGTTCTGTTTGTAAGCCCCAGATATCCCTGTACAACGAACATCGCTTCCTAAATATATATTTATTTTGTACCACCCGCTCTGACACACCAAGAAGACAGCAGCGCTAGACAGTTTTTTTTTTTCTTCTCGGTGCACTTACAATGTGCCACCTGCCATCCCTGATGTGCTCTGGCGGTGCAGGAAACAGCATCCTGTATTTTCCTGCTTAGGCATTCTCTTTCAGTGACAACATCAGTAACACAACAGGTGTAAATGAATTGGTTGTGGGCTTGATACAACGAGCCAAGTTGCTCAGTTGTGTTAGTCGAACTACAGTATATAACTAATAATAAAAATAAAGTGTAATGAATAGATCTTTGAGCTTTATCTAGTCAGATATAATTTGCAATCATCAGCATATCTGGCCAACTTCTACCTACAGTAGTGAATTTCATTTATTTTTAAGGCTAGTATGTCACTTGTGAGGCGCTATATGAAATGATTAAAGGTTATGCGGTGATCTGGATAGTGAAGTCTACGATGTTTCCACACTTGATGTTACAATCGGCTCCCGGCGAGACGAAGGAGCATATGAATCCTAACTAATATACATATATGACACTAGATTTGAGGTGATTGAGAAAAGCAGACTAACACTTCCATTGTGTAGTATTTCCTCAGTGTTGAATCTTTTAAAGGAAACTATCAGATTTCAGGATAATGCTAGACATTAAGTAATGAAGTGAAAACTATCTTTTTTTTTTTTTTATAGGTTTTCTGCCACTTTCATCTTTGTAAGCTTCCCCACGAGCAAAAACGGAAACCTTTTCACGTCCTAATTCCTAGAGCATTGCACTAACAATTGTCCGCTTTTTGGGGTTTTAAAAAGGAGATTGATGGAAGCTACCATATGTGCTGCATGTTTTACACCTGGGGAATAATGTAAGCTATGGAAATTCTTATTTGTATTTCAGTTTCAACAATGAAAAGTGGATTGATCTTTTACCCCGTAACGGGTGTTTACAGAGCACATGGAAATTTGACACGAGCCGACGTTAACATGGCTTTAGCAGCCTGATTTTTGACACCTTGTGTTCTAAAATGCTAATTTACAGTTGTTGACGTAATCTACTGAAATGTGATCTGTATCTCCGCCCACTTGAACAAGAAATTATGGGATTTTAAGGACCCATTCGAGACCGCTATGGCCGTCTTACATGGTCTATATGCTGCTGTGCTAAGTCAGGTATTAAAGATGTTTCGCTCAAAGTCTAAACATTTAGTAGAGACTCCATCATTCATTCGTTTATTTATCAACATTGGAACCAGTTGGGTTCACAAGGTTAATTAGAATTGTGCCTCAAAGTATTACCACAAATGACTGCAGCATATTTGCAAGGACATCTGCGTGACAACGTCCAAGCTTTCTGATTAGAAATTAATTTTGCTAAGCCATAACCTGACTATATGATGCATGCTAATTCAATATATAAAGAAACCCCCACCACCATAACTATATTTTCAGAATGTGGTAACGTACCTTCCATGACCCTGAAATAACCTGCTTATCCTCTAACTTGCCACATAAAATGTTTCCTCTAAATACCAGCAGCCGCCTTTTTAGAGTCATTTCTGCGGTTTTTTTCGGAGTAATTTCTGAGTTTGAGTCATTTCTCCTCCTCCTCTCAGGTTAACAGAGTGCAGTCTCGTATGAGCACCCATCGGGCGATGCACTTTGCAAAACTAGTTCTAATAGCAGGCAGACCGGGTCCAGAGGCTTACATGCTGACAGTCTGTGAATGTGTCAACTTTGACGGGTGACAACCTCGTCTTCACATCTTATTGAATTAAGAATAGGCATAAGAGAAGAATAAAGCCCCCACTCTCGAGTTAATTATAGATGTGTCAACCTAGCCAGTGACTAATGATGTCTTGTTTGTGTCCTAGATGAAACGCTGACATGTCATTGTACGCTGTAGTATCTAAGGGAAATAGCAGGATGCACGTTAGTCTGCAGCCTGTCGTTGTTAAAGAAGATTTAATCTCCTACTGATGTTGTTAATGTTACTACATGTTCTAAAATGTAGCCTAATAGTAGATCATTTGTCTTGATATATATTAAAGGACATAGATAAGCGATTTAAGTGCTGCAGTTACTTTAGCTGCAGCTGAATATTTTTACACATACAAAACATGCAATGCATTATTCTAAAACTGCTCTAGTTTCTACTATCAACGTATTCAGTCAACGTATCGGTTCAAATTAGCTTCATCTTGATTGCCGAGTGTTTCAAATACCTGTTTATGCAACAGAAATCATCTTAAAATATTTTACCAGCATTATTGAGGCCATTTTATGTGTAATTTTAATTTCGATGTAGTTTTGGTTTTATTGTGCACTTAGGAGAATCAACGCCTCCTGAGGAAAATATGTCACTTTAACTGCAAAATGCTTTCCTTTGTTGACCTGCTGGTCTCCAGCTGCAGTTTGCTACTGAGCAGGTAGCATAACGTGTGTTATTAGAACATTTTGCAGCAAATTGCTGCCTGCTGTTGACAAACTATTGTTTAAGAGGGTGAAGGTCAAACGGCAAAAAAAAGTGAGACTTTTTTAGCTCATTAAAGTTGATGGAAGCTGCAGATTTGGGGGATAGTTCCCTGCTGGTTCATCACTGTGGCTGATCCCTTTCACATTGTTACTTAATAAATTGTAAAATATCAATCATAGACAATGTGGAGTGCAAGACTTACAGTATGACTCTTCATTGAGGGTAGATTCACAACACAAAGGCAATAACAAGGACTGGTAAGCGTGTAACTCCCTGCTGTGTGGCGGTAAAACAAAATAACAAGCCTGTCTCAGAAAGTATCACAAGACCCAAACACATTTAACAAATCACCACATCGGCCGAATCTCAATCTCACAACTGTTTACTGTTGTTTTTTTCTTGCTTTTTTGAGCACATGATGACTGTCAGACCTTAGTTGGCATCTTGCGCTTGGCCTGTAAATAGGAAGCTTGGCATGTGCGAGCCTGGGACTCCTGCTCCGTTATGTTTGCACCCCGGGGCTGCACCTCTGGTGGGAGTCGTACCTGAATCCAGGCCAGAGCCACGTGGGTGAGTTGGTATTTGACGTCGGGCAGCCGAACTCTGTTCATCTGGGCATGTCAAGAGATTTAAGCTCTGATAAATTGTCTCTCCAAAGAAGACACAGTAGGTCGTGGACCTTGCCAAAGACATTCTGTCGAGTATGTAAGCATTCAATTGAAAGCTAAGTGATCAAAAAAATTAGTTGGGGAGTAAATGGCTGTGAGGTATGCCAGTAGGCGAGAGAGAGGAAGCCAGTGAGGCACTAAATTATTCAGACTTGGGCTGCATTGATCATGACCTCCTTTTACGGCTCATTACCTTATGTCCTTACTTCTCGTATACTTGAAAGTTGAGAGCACAGTTTTGTCCTATTTATGTCTTTTCAGTAACTTTTAACTAACGGCGACATAAATCCAAATATGATTGTGTGCGTTCTTTTTTTTATGATTTAAAGCGTAATTATATTTTGGTGAAAGTTATTTAAAAATCTGGCTCTGTCAAATAATGTGATTCTAAATTCTCTTTTTTCACATTTTTTTAATTGAGCATTTCTAATAGTATACAACAGTAATAACCTATATTATTTTACAAAGCAAAACTTTGTGTATTCACAACAGCAAAATGAGAAGATGTGGTATTTAACTGAATGCAGCCTTTTTTTATTTATTTTTTTTATTAATGAAAATATCGCCCGAAGTTGGCTGGGATGGACTCCAGCCCCCCCGCGACCCTGTGTGCAGGATAAGCGGTTTGACAATGGATGGATGGATGGATATTAATGAAAATGAAATAACACAACTGAATTGGTCCTTTTTGCAGGTAATGCCTTCATAGATCAGGACCTGAACAAATCATGTAAATTCAGTGAGGAAAAACAACAAAAACATGTTGTTTTTTTAAAGCAATCAGAAAACACTACTTTTTTTTTCTTCTTTTTTTTAAGGCTGCAAATATTTGCAGCTTTTGTTTGACATTAATGGGACCCGATAAGGGGTTGTCTGCTTACTGCTTTGCCAACACCATGCCAGCTCTTTTTGCTGTAATTGCTGATGCCTTTCGAAATGAGCCAGCTCAATCTGCCTTTCAAAGATATTGCCAACAAGCATTACTAGATTGACTCATTATTATCAGCCCAACATAAAAAGCTCCTGCTACAACAAAACACATTTGGTATTTTTTTCTTTTTGCTCAGCCATGACTCTTACAGAAAGAGTTTAAGAGTCATCCACTCAAGCGTCTGAAAGTGTCTGGGCACACAGATTTTCACGTAACGTATAACTAATAATTATTTTCTGGTTCTCCTTGTTTCTATGAATAAATCTGTTCTACTGTTCAACAGATGTGCCTGACTCAAGCAGTCCTACAGTAAATAATAACCGAGCAGCAGCCTCTCTTTGACTGTTCAATAGTAGCTTGTAGCATAAAACTGATCAGTTAAGCATGCATACAGTCGCTTTTTTTTTATCAGTAATGTAAGGATTTAACTCACTTTTCTCTGTCTATTTAAATGCACTTTATTAATTTGTATTTTTTTCCCCCTGTAGATACCACAGTATATATACCCTCATTTGATGGAACATCTTATTTGGAGCTGCTGCCTGTTTCATCCCTTCTGCAGCCTTTTGATGCCAGTAATAATATCTCTGCTACTGTCAAGGACACCATTGTTATTCTCAATATGACAGTGAAAACACGATCTACGCAGGGCACCATCCTCTACAGTGAGTACACCGTCTCACTAAAGCAATCTCGCTTGGCATCTGCAATATTAGAGGTATACAGGTGATCTATAAAAGTAATTTTATAATCATATTATTATCAAATTATAATATTTAGTAATAATGATGATAATCTAATCATTATTGTTGTAGCTCAAAGTGTGTAAATGTTCTGGCAAGATCCCGTTTATTCATTTCATTGAGAGTAATCCTGTATTAATATTGCATCTTTGATCCAAAGCCTGCTACTAAACGACCAAGGTAGAAACTACTTGAAATAGTTAAAGGGATTGTTCAATATTTTGAGTGATACGATAAGATTGATACCACTTTGCACATCTTCAAAAACATAAGACTGTTGTATGACATTTAAAGATAAATGTCATATCCTGCCATGTCATATGGAGTAAAATGATTGTCTGTTGTGATGTAAGCCCCTCAAAATACAATAATTCCACTACACGTTGTGTAGACATGTTATAAATAAGGGACATTTTCTCCCCCTTTTGTTATTGTCAGTTAGTTATTTAGCGTAACTGATAAATAAATTCTACATACAATAATCAGTCTGTGCTTTGTCCTCAGCCTCTGATTACATTAAACATACAATGTTGTTTCTAGCGAGGCTTGCCAACAGTTATCATGCCGTAGAAAAGGCAGGAGGAAAAATAAGAGAACCTTATGTATGAAATCTGAATAAATCAAATAAACTCCAATAACGCAACAAAATGAGGATTACACAAAGGATGACATAAAGAGTTGAGCAACTGCTTGTGGTTGTTTGGGTTTAGTATAAAACACATATCAATGCCAAATATTAATGTCAAAATCAATGGACTGATCACCTGGAGCCACCAGCGCAAAGCGTCATTTATTGTTATTGCAGCAAAACTGTGGTGCACAAGATGATTACTGTGTTTCAATAGCTTCCGGAGACGGACAAGGAAGCCCTTAGACACCATCTTATCTTAAGATAGTTTAACCAGTTTTCTTCCATGGCTGCCACCTGGGTCAGTTTATTTTGTTGCGGACATTCCTCCTTTTTCAAAAGTGCTTTCATCCACGGCTGAAGGTAATGTGGGAGTATAGGAGAGAAGGGAAATACGCAGTGGTGTGCTCTGGTGAAGGACTACGGATAGCTTCGCCTTTTATGGGCAGTCGCGAGTTTTGTTGTTTCGCTGGTGGTGATCAGAGCTAATGCCTCACAGAGAACAAAGGATTCCTCAAAAGGAGGAGAAAGCAGGCGTGTCACACGGGGCCCGAGGATTGGGCCGACCCTTTACATCAGCCGCGCGCTCTACATTTTACATCTACCTCTTGCCTCCTCTTTGTTGCAACACCTGCACTCACGCATATAAACTCTCTTTTGTTCCAGCAGGACATTTGGATAGGTAGACGGTGAGAAGGCCTTCTTAACAATAGAGCATTGTTTTGGAGAAGAGAGGAGTACGTATTTCTGCCTGAGAAAGCTGAGCCATGAGAAATGTGTTCCCTTTATCCAGCTGTGTGTGTATTATACATCGGTATGTATCCATATATTAAGTACCAGCCAGCTGGGTGGTGCAACCACCACATGAATGAGTTAAAAAAATATCCAACTTTGTGTCTCGCTGGACAGCAGCTGAAACCCCCAAAAGTCCATCAGAATTTTTACAACCATGCAGTTGATTTATTCCTCACAAACCGGGCAAATGCATTGCTACATTCATCTCGCTGGTTAAACCTTGATTACAACCCCGTATTTGTGTGACACAGTCTACACGTCTGTGGCCTCTTTACATTTTCAGAACAATTTGAATTAATTCCAAATAACATTGTTTTGTAACAATTACAATGTCCATGTTTAAGATACATTAGCTTGTCTCTCCAGTTTCTGGATTCAACTGAAGTTGAAATTAAAACATTACAAAATTACTTTTAACATAAAACGGTGAAAGACGGATTCATTACAGAAATAATAACTGGACTTTTCCTTCTCCGATCCAACACTGGTCTCCCCTGACTGCTGCTGAGTGCGTTGGTGCCTCACCAAATACTTAAATCTCGTTATTTAAGGAGCTATTAATTAGCCATCTCTCAGAACCTAATAGCGCTCTAAATGAGTGTGTTATGTCGGGTGGCGCACTTGAAAGGTCAATCTGCTGAGCCTTAAATACACACAGGCAATGTTTCTATCAATGTTAAGTCAAACATTATCCTCTCTGACACCATGTATTTCCATAACCATCCCAATTTACTGACGTTTCTCCTTTCAAACACAACTGTTCACATTAGATGAAGTGTGTGTGTGTGTGTGTGTGTGTGTGTGTGTGTTTGTGTGTTTGCACATGCCTTTTTAAATTTAATTTTTTGCAATTTAAGTACATCATTCAGGAACCACTTGAAACTCATGATGAGGTTTGCGGATGGAGCAGCTGATTAACTTCAAAGCAGAGCCTTTCTTATGCTACTCAGTACTTGAATTAATGTTTGCAGTTGGGATGTTTTGGGGAAAAACGACACATTACGTGGACAAAAAGAACACAGCTGGAGGGAACTCAGTATAATTTCGTCTCCTATTACTTGATTGAAGATACTTTTTACAATTGTCAAAAGCCAAGCACTTTAAATGAAAGACTTTGCATGTGTGAATGGCAAACAGCAGAAAACAAATCTGCCTGTAATAATAAAGACATTGACGCAATCAATATATTTTTAGGGTTTGAGATATTTAATACATTTGTTAATTCAGAGTAGAACAACGTTAAAAACTACTTTCCCTGCATTTAAGACATTTATTTTGGAGTCCAGAATTTGGGGGATAAATGTAATGTAAATCAGATGTGATGTGTTGAGTGAATTAGATGATGCGCGTGATGTCAAGGAAGCAAAACTCCACATGTAGTATTGGTGCCTCATGTATTCACAGCCACCCGATTTATTCTGAAGATTAGTATGAAAAATAATGTCTGCTATGACATTTACCGTGCTCTGAGATGCACTGTCAACTGTGATACCTTATATAGACAATCAACTGAATTTAGCACAGGTGGACTCCAATCAAGTTGTAGAAACATCTCAAGGATGATCAGTGGTAACAGGAAGCACCCGAGTGCCATGGCAAAGGCTGTGAATACTTATAACAATAACAATGTACATGTTATGTTTTCGTGCAAAAAACAGTTTTCACTTTGTCATTATGGGTTGTTGTGTGTAGAATGTTGAGGAAAATAATGAATTTAATCCATTTTGGAATAAGGCTGCAACATAACAAGACATGGAAAAAGTGAAGCGCTGTGAATACTTTCCGGATGCACTGTACCTACCCTCACAAGATTGCACAATAATATGAATGAACAAATTCATAATTTGAAGTTGATCAGTTCAGTTAACCGTGTTTACAATATTTCCCTGCAAAAGCACACACAAGCCGGAGAGCAGAACTTTAGCCTTGCCAAACCCTGTCATGAAAATAAATGAAGGTTCAGGAAGCATATACAGAGGGCAACAGTGCCTTTTATCTAGTAAAGCTTCCTGGTTCATAGTGCACCATCTTTTTCACATCAGAGGAACTGAAAAGAAAACTCCAGAGATCAAACAGACCCCGTTAATCAAAAGAGAACCAAAAGACAGTCATTGAGATGCACAGAATCTCTTCTCCAGACCTGCATCCTTATTCTTCCTTCCTTTTTTACACCTCTCCCTTAAGCAAACATACACGTCTCCCTCTGGGCCTCAATTGTCAGAGAAGAGAAATAGAGGAAGGTGGGGGGTGGGGGGCATGAGGGAGAACAGGTGACGCGCTCTGACAAAAGGACGAACGCTTTGTCAGACTTTGTGCAGAATAACAGGACCATGGGGACAAAAGGGAACAATATCGTACAGAAGACAAATAGAAAAATAATTGATGGGGCGACATTGAAATCTATAAAATAAATAAATAATATTAGTCAACAAATGACTTATGGCGCTTAGTCGGGAAACTCAATGTTCTTTGCTGCGGCAAGTCATTATGTCTCAAAGTTCAATTGTATATGTCATCACTGCGGTTTAGTTTAGCATTTCAAAACATTGGTAAAAGCATCAGCATACAAATATATAAAAAAGAAAATAGATAAACCAGAAATGTATACATTTGATATTAAATTTGAATCCATTCAAACTTTTAAGTTATTTAATTTGCAACTGCTATATTCCAGCATCTCAGAGATCTTGAAGAGACATGTTTTTCTTAAAATAAGCATTGAACGAGAATATTAAACACAGCCTCTGTGCTGGTTTGTTCCTTTGAGTTACATGTTAATACCCATTAAACAGAAAAATGACTGCGTCTAAAATAATGGTTTGTCAAAAGAAAATCAAAGTTGGTATTAAGCTGTTTTAGACTGTAATAAAACCCTATGCATTTTCAGGAGACCATAGGTGGAGATGGTGGATACACCATCTGGGACCACATTTACAGATTAAATACAGGGTTTAAAAATGTGACATAACTTATTACCTTGCCAGAAACACAAATAATTACATCTCTAACCAACAGTAAATCTTACCATCTAAATGCCAAAACACAATTCTTTGAAAAGAAACCCCGGCAGTACTCTGCAGTTGCAACTTCATTAGGGATTCAGGAAGCTCTGAAGATGTTCCCCTGAGCTTTGCAGTTTTTCACAGAATGTAACTGAGATGGATAATGATGCTGTTGTACTGGACTTCATTACACTGAGAGGTGTTTTGAATAGTCTTCCCACGTATTTAAGTATATATATATATTTCTGAATGAGGAGGACTAAACATTAGAAACACATTTTAATATAATGTAGTCCAGTATAATATCGTTTATATCGATGTTCCTGTAGGCTATATTTCATAAGGAGCTGAGCAGAGGCAAATCTGGAGATCTTGGGACCTGTGAGATGTGATCAGCCCACTGTCGAGCATAATTAACCATCGAACTTTGACCACAACCCTCCTATGTGATGTTTTGTGTAAGATTGAGAAATGGTGGTGATGTGGTGGCAAACATGACTTCACTTGTTTGACCAACTTATTGTATACTGCTGCGGTTCCACACTAATAACACGTACTTGTTAAGTTGGAGGGACTTGTTGAACATCCATTTGTGTGTCTTTGTATTACCATGAAAACAAATGAGCTGCAGCATATTCCAACTGAAAGGCAGGTGACCAAAAACTGACCTCTGGGGAACTTCACACCCAAAGTCAACCTTTATCTGTTCCTTCAAATAGGATGTAATCAAACTAAATGCTGCAGGTAAATATAAACGTTTTAAATACACATTGTCACTTCACAGCCACTTTATTTCTCCCTGCTGCCGTTTTTTTTAAGACAGAGTGAAAGTACTTCCCTTCAACAGAACAGGTTTGATGAAATTGTCTGGGCCGAGATCATTTCTCCTGGGTCCATTCAGCAACCGCGACCAGCAATATGTCCCTGTGATGTGCATCCCTGTTGTGTCGTGGTATAGGGAAGACCTCCAAGTCTTCTTAGAAAATGCATTATCAGAGTGCAGCGCATTAAGCCAAGCATATCCTCCCTCTGACAGAGAGACAGGGGTTTTTCTGGATGCCCTTTTTGCCCTGCAGGAATTGTTCAGAGCTTTTCGTATCGGCCGCAATGCAGCCTTGAAACAACAAGCACAGCTTCTGCGCCGATTTCCTGTAGTGTCTAAATCCTCCACCCATGGCATTACTTCATAAGAGATGGCCCACACACCCACACACACACACACACACACACTGTGGAGGCTGTCTTTGCAGCCCACACACCAGTTTCCAAGCCCAGTGAGCTACACCAGCCTATCCTCTTACAGAATCCTGGCTCAATTGTCCTCGTCAATGGGAATTCCAAGGGGTCAATCTCGATTCTACTCGGCAGCTCTGGCTCCCTGTGAATGTCTTTCACCCAGCTGTGAAATGTGTCCTACTAAAAAAGACCAATTGAAATGTCCTTAATAGGGCAGTAATGCTGCTGGGTCTGCTGATCTACAACCGTGTCTTGCCGGACACTGGCACAATACTTGCAAGCTCTCTATTATCTCTGTCCCTCTTACATAGCTGCACTCTTATGTTGCATGTCTTATCAAGTCTCCTCAGACAGAGAGGTGAGGGACTGTATGAAAAGTATGGAAGGTTTAAGAATGCAGCTGTCTGTTGCCCCCCCTGAACTGTCTCACATTGAAGACTCAATCTGTGATATGTCCAGGAGTCAGATAATGCAATATGACAGGCAGCACCTGGTGACCCTCCTCTTGGCGGCCAGACTTACCTGTCGTCCATGGTGAAAGGAACCTCTGACGCAGAAGGCCTCCTTTTTTATACCTTTCACCTCCCGCAAGAAACTTGTAAGATCACAGTTATCACCTCACCCTAGTCGAACCAGTCCATTTAAGTGGCCCGAAGTAGGACTTTCCTACGTGAGGTAGAAAACGTACAGCTCTGTGCTAACAGCATACTTGGAGATGTATGCAGGAATGCCACAGCCATAAAAGATTTTGAAAAAACCTTCCTCCCTGTGGAGTCTGGCCGAGCGGATGGTTAGTAGCCATAGACTGTAAAAAAAACTTTGCTGGATGAAACGCACACAGCTCAATGCTCTGAGCGGACTAAAAAGTTATGGAGGCCGAAAGCGTTCTTGCTTTTGAAGCTTCCATCAAATGGTCATTCGAGGAACTGCAGTTCTTGGCGATTCAGGCTTGGCTGCATTTTTCAGCCGTGGAGGGCGCCGCTTGTGAGTAGCCCCTGCAGGCACGATGGCACTGTGGATTGCAGAGATGATTCATCATACCGATCGTCACACTGGGCTAGTTTTGGTGCATTGTGCAATGAATTATCACAGCCAGTGCTTCATTAGACAAAGATGGCTTATTGTAGCTTGGAGTCTTAAAGAAGCAGGTTGTTGCACAAAGGACTCGCTGACACTAAGGTCCAAAGGTTGCTTTGTGGTCCATCACGCCTGCTTGCACAGGTGGTGCAATGGATCCACATTGAATAATTAAATCAAAGAGAAGAGCAGTGTTGCATGCGAACAAAACCTGTCAAAGAAAGAAGAAAAAAAAAGAATTGAGATTTATAGTTCAGGGCCGTTCAATCTTAAGTAATTGTTCAATGGAGTTATTGTTATATTGAGGAAGCCTTGCACCCTTTATTCCCTGTTTGTCTCCTTGAGTATGAGTGGAGTTCACAACAATGCCAATATGTTCTGGTAAAATGTTGTCTTGGCAAACACAAAGCAATGTAATTTGTTGGCAGTCAGTTAACCTTCCTCTTAGTTTTCATTGAATCGATCACAACAAGTATGGCCTTGTGGTCTTTAGTTGGGTTTGTATACGGAAACAGACTAATCATTACACAACTCCCTTACGATTTCAGCTCAGCAGCAGAACTTTGGGGATCGGTTCCTTCATGTGTTCGTTCAAGATGGAAGCCCTGTTGCTGAACTTGGATGTGGTGGCAGTCAAATTTTGAATGTTGCTGCGGGGCAGAACATCAATAATAACAGATGGACACAAATAACTATCAGGTATGTTATATCTCCTACTTTCCTCTCTATTCTCTATTACTTTATTGGCAAAGTGTCATTGTCTTAAAACTACTTTGACTAATCAGTTTTGAACATATGATGTTGTTTACTTTTAGCCTTGTTGTCATAGAACAAGTGTTTAGACCAGATATCAATTTCAGATCTATGTTTTATCTCTATACTGTACCAATTTATATCTTTCGGCTTTTCAGTCTCAATTTGTTTTGGTTAAGGGAAAATATGTAAAGGCTACATAAAGGGGTAGATACACACAATGTGTGTAGTGTGCACATTCCCCAATTTATTAAATACTTAAAACATGAATGTAGTGCTCAGTTCTTTCCACTTTGATTGAAGTTGCATGTCACGGTCTCTCTGATAAAACCCTTGTCTGTCCAGTCGCTTCCCTCATCACTCTGGATCAGAGAATTGATTGATGATGGTAATGCAGAAGTGCAATGAAAGCTTAGATATTTCCCAAATGTAATGCTCTGGTTCCCTCTGCACCTCTGGCGGTGGGGGGGGAGATACACTTCAAGTGGGGGGAAAAAAACGTGATAAAGTGCTCTCTGGTTTATTGTCTACATGCTCGTTTCCACCACGTGAAGCTGGTGCCCCTCAGACAGCCTGAATACGTCATTTACCTGCAGAAAAGGAGACAAAGATGTCAAAGTCACACAAAGCAGGCAAACTGTGCAGTGTTTTGGAAGTGTTGGGTTTGGCATGGTGGGCACAACAGCTGTTTCCTCAAGAACATTATACACATGACTAGCAGTCACATATTCAGCTTCTCTGAAACTACTTCACTCAAATGTTGAGTATAAACATTATACGCATCATGCAGGACGATGCCTTCTAAACGACTATAGATTACTGTACACTGTCAATATATATGTATGTATGTCACCTTTTACATTTTTATTTTCGACCATTCCAAAATGGGAAAATATCTGTCGCAATTCATGGCATCTTGCAGATAGCTCACATAGAGATTTAGGATAATAGACTCCTGATATTCAGTCTACTGTGTAAAAAGGCCTTTTCAGTAAGTGGCTCAGATGCTTTAATCTGGACTGCATACAGCAGACAGCCATTGCACCTTTTTAATGACCATCTCTTTTTCCTATACCTATTTATTTTTATGAACTACTTTGGGGTGCATTGAATACATGAGGCATGGTAAGGGATACCTGGATCAACCACCCTATCCGTGGATCAATGACTATTCAGATTCTGGGTCTAAAATAAAATGCACACGACACAATATTCCAATGACTTAGTTTAGATTTATCCTTGTTTGAACAACGGCAAAAGAACGAAGGAGACATTTAACAACATTTGAAGACTGAGCCACCAATTCTTGTATGAAATTCTGCTTTCCTTGAGAAACATTTTTCATTTTGTTTGTCAAATCAATAAATAAAAAAACCTTCCAAACCAATGAATTCAGCCAATAGTGATTTGACTTAGCGATTCAACTGGAATCGCCTGGTTGCAGCTTAGTTAGATCATTTAATAATTGATATGACTTTGTTCAACTTCCCACGCTTGTCACTACATTTAGCAAATGCATTTAGACATATTCACAGGGAAAATAATTTATTTAAAGCCACAAGAACACCTTTTGTCATTAGGGCCACGAGCAGCAAATGTTGCAGCGCTTTTGTATTACAGTTGTAGATTGGTTAAAACGGTTGCGTCCTAAGCATTTGGCAACACATTTGGTACCAAGTGTTAAACCTGATCCACATGCATCTGCACTACTTGCTTGTCTCATCCAAATAGGTCTGATCACAATGCTTTCCCATGCACAGCTTATCCTCTGTCTCCATACAGTGGCTTACAGCCTGTGTAAGCCAGTGGGAGAAATGAGAGCGGCCCCGCTGCTGAGCTCTGCCTCCTATTTATTCGTGATCGGTTCAGCAATTTGATTCATATGCAAATGAGTGCATGACATCATCGAGTCTTGTTTGAGCAGTGAATACCTTCTTTCCTGGATGATGGCGTGCAAAAATGAATACAGCTGCTTGAACTTGCAGTCAGCGTCTCTGCAGGTTACGGCGGCGGTTCTATTTAAGTGTAAATAATCCAAGCCACAATGACCAAAGAGGGAAAATGCAAATTGCTAGATGTGATTGTAAGACCGGCTCAACACCTTTTTCTTTTTTTCAAACGGCCAATCGTATCGTCATGTCAAGCACTCTTCTGAAGGCAGAAAGTGAAAAGCTTTAAATGTTTGTGCCGTTGCAACGTTGAGAGAAACAAGTGGTATGACACATCTGTTCAACATTGCGTTGTATTTCAAAAATAAGCAGTTTGCTCTCTGCACTGATGTTTTGATACATGGCTCCTAGTTACTCAGATGAGTACAAAACAACACACTAAACTGTGGGGAGTTATTTTAAGTTACATTAAAAGGCCAATCGTGGGTAGTCTACACAGCTGTTGCTGCAGCTAAAATGTTTTCGCTCTACATGTGTGTGTGTGTGTGTGTTCACTCCGGTATTGAATGAACTTAGATAATATATGTCAATGCATTAGAAATATAGAGCCACCGATGAGAGCTGTTCAGCGTTTTTTCCCGTAATCGTCCCTGACAGAGAGATGAAAGAGGCAGATATTCAGAATGCGATGGTGTTGCGGTACGGTTGTTTTTTCCAGGATAAATGCATAATGGACATGTGGATTGGTAGTGAAAATAAAACTCTCAGAACAAAAATGTTTCACAATTGAATCTACAACCGATTTGTAGCACTCAATTACAGCGGTTATGGCAAGACTGCTACCAAAATGCCCTGTGCTGCCATATCACTTCACAAAGGGCAGTGTCCACGGGGAGGCTGTGTCGTTTTTCATTTGGGGAGGACATGTTTGTTGTGGGCTCGTTTTTGATGATCGAAGGTTTTCCTTTGGGGACGTCCAGAGCTATTAAAGTCTGAAAGTGAAAGACTCCCCCGGTCATTTGCGAGGGTGTGTACATTATTGGTTGAATCCCATTGCGCTCAGCGTTTCACTGTGGGATTGATTTCCATTCTCACACAGTCAAAGACAACAAGGATGACCCAAAGAATGCTGCAGCATCGCATTTCTTCCCAACGCTGAACAGTCCCAGACGGATATGATTATGGAAATTTATGCCACTTTTTAGGGTACTTTTGGCAGTCAGAGGAATGGGAGCACAATCTCGAGTAAGTCTCTGACTTACTATGAGTTTTATTCTATTCTTTTTTTTTTTTTTTTTTTACGGAAAAAGTCATGGTTCTCAGAAACTTATTTTGCTTCAGTAGGAGTCTTGCATTAGTACCCAGTTTTCTGAACGGACCTAAACACCACCAACCGAACATCAATCAGCAATTTTCCTCTGTGTATCTGTCCGTGTCTCTTGGATGTCTCGAGAACCACTCCTCTGATGTTATCTGAGGACACCATGGCGGGCTTTTTGAAAATTAGGGGCGATTTGTACAGACTTTGTTCAAACAATCAAACAGCCGCCCCCCCCCCACCCCCCAACCCTGTGCAATACAGCAAGTCGTCTGCGGGGAGCAGACAGCGACTTATTGATCTCACTTTTTCTGCCAGCTCATGGATATAAATTGCTAACGCTATAATAGTGCTGCAACCAAACTTTTCGCCCCTTCCCCAAAAACAACAAGCATGAGCAGAACAGTTTGCTACTCTGCAATTGCAGCTCAAATTAAGTTTCTTTTCTTAACACTACGGCCAGAAAAATGACTTTGCTAATTAATTCCATGCTATTTGGTAATTAATGTTTCAGCCAGTAGGCCAGGTGCGATGTGGGTGTGTTTTTCCCCAGTGCCTTGAGTAAATTTCCACATACAAAAGTATATCACTAAGCCAGCGTGCATTTTTACATTGAAAGGATATTTAAAATACTTCTACGGCAAACCGTTGAAAAGACGCTGAACAAAAGTTCAAAAGTAATTTTGTTCAACTATATGAAGAGGTTCATCGAATTGTCAATAATGCATCATACTTCAATAGCCGTGTATTAGGAGTCGTATTTGAATCTGCACACATGACACATTTCCCTGTCAGGTAAATGTTGCACTGCTATATTTTCCTCTGGAGTAGAAGTACACAGTCGTAGGCCATACACCTGAGATGCATATTTTGACGTGCTTTGGGGGCATTTAAGTTACTGCAATGTATACATTAGTTTGAACAGAAACACAAGGAATTATTTAAACATCATGATAAATGGACGGCTCGTCAGGGTCCTTTCAGTCGGAGGCCCGAGGCCCACGTTGCCTACTGTCGCGTCCGGTGTTTTGTTCTGCATCCAAAGCCGACTGTAGGCCTATTTAAATGATTTTTTTAACATTATTTAACTGTTTATTCACTAGCTATTTCTTTTCTTTTTTTGATGTATTAATGCATAACTAGTTGTGATGTGTTGCCTAGCAACAGCTGCTAAAGATAAAGACAACAGAAGAGTGCATTGAGGAAAAGGAAGAATTTCCAGCAAATTTGGGTGTCTGTAAATGAACACCAGATAAAGTTGAGACACATGCTTTGAGTTCACGTTGTGTTCACTTTAGGAACAACTGTTCACCTCCTGCCGCTAAAGAGCTGCGACAGCTGTTAAGTGTCTATCCATCTACACTGCATTCTGGTACACGTGTGTATGGGCTTATTGGTAAAAAAGCGCAGCTCTAATTAGTGATCATTTAAGTAATGGGTAAAGTAATCCCTTTGCAATTTGGAAAAGTAATTAATACCCATTGATTACTTTTTCTGAACTAAACAATAACAACGGACAGAACTTCTCCTTTCCCACTTTCCCACACGTCTTTAATTGCAGAGAAAATAATGAGGAAACAACATCCATTTTGGGGAAGTGCCATGTGTGCAACTGAGTGAAAGGAAATTCTGTGTATGTTTATCAAACAGACGGCAGTCAGTGTTGTATTGATAAGTAGTCCCATAAAATATTCATTGAGGAACCAACCGGTGGGACTGCTCGCACACTCAAAATTTCTTTTGTGAGGCCACAATGCCGAGAGGCTGGCTGTGCGCTGTCTAATTGTATTGCTGGAGGTATAATGATAGAACACGGGCTACCCAAATTAATTGAGGCTTGCCTGTTAAGGCGCAAATGCTGCATCAAATGCCGCAGTGCTGCGTGTGAGGAAGTCTCCTCACCGCATCAGGCATTATGGTCACTGTAGGTTTGGATTGTGGTCGGCTCCCTCGTCGGCAGAAAAAACCTACAAACGGATGCCGCCTCTTGTGCAGCAGACCCGGTGGTGTGATGATAATACCTTATTATTAACCATGTTGTTGTTTTTTACTCTATCCTTTAATATTTGATTTGTAACGCGACTGCATAAGTGATAGGGTACATCTTCCTTATCTATATAATGTGAGTGACCCATTTACGTTGTATCTGCTCTCAGGTAGAACACACTGCTGAGCCTGGTCTCTAGCTGTGGAACTGATAGACTTTGGACTTTTGCACTAAATTGCTTGCAAATGATAAATTCACAACTACGGTGTTTATTTTTTATTATTTGCTTTTTATAAGAATCTGGAATATGATTTAGAATAATAAGCCATGCAAAACAAATTGCATCCTGCTCATCATCCAGTGTATACTGTTGCAAGGGCACCAGCACAGTGCATGATGTTTTACTGCCATCTGTTGCCAATACTTTCAGATGTTTTATGCAATAGTGATATTTTAATGATGATCCTCCCTCATCATTAATTTTCTGCAGGGGACTGTGGGGGCGGTAACGTTCAAATAGGACAGTAAAGACACACACCTACAATCAGGTTTAACAAATACCTCTGTGTATGGTGCTGTGCTAAAAATATTTGCTCGGTCCCATAACGTTGTAGGTACTATTTCCGTGGTGATCCACAGGAAAGTTGCAGTAGTTCAGTTGCACTAAATTAGTCACACGCTAGACGCGTCTAAATGAGGACGTTGGAGATGACAAATCCCTTCTGATTAGAGCATTAGCCAGATGAAGAAATGTATAAATGATGATTGAGTAAGTAAAGTGATCACAGCCATATTGTGGTTTTGTGTGTTGGCAGAAAATGAAATATTCATACGTTTTTGTTTGTTTACCTCAAGTTGGGCGTTTGCTGTTGCTAGTCCTCTAAGAACCAGCAGTGAATAGCGCACAGGGAGCCCAATATGAAATGACATAGCGTTGTATTTCTCACTTGGACAAACCCCGCCATTCTTTCTTGTGATTTCACTTTTATGTTTTTTAGTGAGATATAATCCATTGTGGAATAGTGTTGTGTGTGTGGTGAGGATATGATTTTGGGCCATGGGACACATGCACTATGCTTCTATACCATGTTAAGTAGTCATACTCTTCTTTATAAATAGTTGTCTTTGCCCTGACGAGCAAGACCAATGTAAATTAGCCCGATGAGGCATTGAATTTGCTCACGAGAGCTCATCAGGCAGCATCATCCTGTTTGCTTACTATGCACGCTGTGTGTGTCTCACCGGGACAGTCGTTGCAGCTTTAACAGGCCAAATAAAAAGCTACTGTACTAAGCAGCAAAATATGCTTCAAATGCCCCCTGCAAGAGGGAGTTAAGAAAGGTGGTGTTTCATTCCTCACGAACAGTCTCTTCACAAACATGTTCATTATGGTTGTGTTATATACATCACTCACAGAAAATGATACACCAGGCACCCCAAATATGGTGGTAAGCATTTTCTATGCACATTATTGAAGGATGCGTTCCATGCTTACGGTCTTGAATGTGCCTCGGTATTTGCGTGGTGTGTTTGCCTATAAACCTGCCCTTGTGATTTCAATGCAGTACCTGTAATTAGTGCTACTTGAAGTTGCATGTGTGTGATTGCCTCAGGAAGGCATCCTGGATGGCTGTTTTAAAATTAGCAGGAGGGCGATCGCCCTGACGGTTTCCATCTGGCAGTTATGGCAGACATTTGAGGTGTTTGTCTCATTAACGGTGTTACAATCGGAAGAATTTCTGAAAACAATTGGCAGAATCTTTTTTGTTCACAGGCGAACAATAAGGAATCTCTAAAGCGGCCTGTAGCGAGGCTGCTATGTACAACGGCCGTATAAAGGCGTTGATAAATTGGAAGGAGGCAATCACTTGACTTTGCAAAAGCTGGAATCTGACACAAGTAGACCAGCTACTTAACATCATGGCTGCAACATTAATGACTAGAGCAATTGTATATTTCCCCAGAGAGACGCAGAGGGTCAAATGATAAAATTGTCTTCCTACTCATTAGATTTGTAATGTATATCTAGTTGGTGCCCTCATTTTCATCATCAATTAATCCCAAATGACATAATGAGCACTCTCACTTGTTATAGTGTTTTGCAGGCATTTTTTTTGTATTGTATTTTTTATACATATTTTAAATTAAAGTAATGCATATTATGTAGACAGCATGTACATCTAAATTCTGACTCTATCCCAGAGTTATCCCGAAACACATGATTTGTCTGTAGTGTGTTTTCAGGCATAATAATAAGAATTTCTTATCTGCTAAGGAACACCAAAACTGCAGGAATAAAAGAATGTCACTGCAGCACTGGGCAGAAACCTATTTCCAAAGGTATAATTTAAATCCAGCTGTGGAAGCCATTCTCTGTTTTTGTTGTGTCTCCCGGGTATTTGGCTGTGGCGTGGGATACAAATGCACCATTGCCTCCGACAATATCCACCAGTGCATAAAGTTTTCAATAGCAGTGTGTAACATACACGTAGTTATCCATTTTTATACTGTAGTCTCAATGGTCACATTAGCAGCTTTGCTTTTACCGATCTGTTCGTCGCTCCATCCAATGTTTTTTTTTAATTTTTTATTCTGCTCTCTCTCAACAGATACAATCTGTCTGATGCCAAACAAGGAGGGTCATGTATGATTGAGATAGCGACAGATAATGGCCCAGCTCAGCGTCTTGAGGAGTACGTGTCACACCCCGTATCAGAGGCAAGTCAAATCTACAACCACTTTCTTACATTTGCGAACCTATAATCTTGTAATTTGCATCGCTTTCCCTTTCCTGTGAGATTCCGCGTGCAAGTCAAAGGAATTACATCAAACATAATGTATTCCGATACATTACGTTTCCACTCGCTGCCCTGCAGTTAGCTTCATGTACTTGCAAAATACACAATTCTCATGTAAATAACATGATAAGCTTCAATCTGAGCCCGAGAACAGTTCTGTGAGATCTAATCAAATGGATGGATTTTTTTGTTTGTCATAGCAGTTTAAAACGTATTATCCAGCAGCCTTCAGAACAAAGCAAGTTCACTAAATCCAGTACAGACCAACACAAATATATATTAGTAGCAGCAGGTATTTTTGTTTTTGATTAGACAGACTAATTTAGATCCTGTGTGGGACTCATTTGTATGTTATCAAAGCCAACCCAGGACACTGTTTTTTAATATGTCCACCTGTTGCCAAGATGATCAGACTTGGCAAATCTAATCATTAATAGTAGGCATGCAAGAAACAGCCATTTTTAATCTTTTCATTCTGGCTCATTAATTTGATTAACAACACCTATGTTTATTAAATTAATATTTGGGGTTTTTCACTTTTAAAGATGCAGAGAGGGGCTCAACCTTCCCAAAGGCTCCACATGCCTCCCCCCTTCCTCCATGTGATTTATGGTGTTCTAATTTAAGATGCCAAGCTATTTTTTTTCCTTTTTGGTTAATAACACACTCATTATTGCAAATTATCTTTGCAAAAACTAGACTGGTTGCTAGTAAACTTTTATAGAGACCAGTGTATTACCTTAATTCAGACACACATATAATTTCAAAAGAACCGCTCATACGAACAACTTCACACTTAACGTTGTGCTTCTGTGGGTCCTCAACTAAACCGCTACCATGATCTACAAAGTCTCAGCTAATAACAGGCCCGAACACTGTTAAATTAGGCCTATCATCTGATTCACTGGAAAAAAACACCACGGGAATACCAGCCGGGCCTGCGGCCCCAGACTGAAAGAGCCCCTATCATCTTTAAATTTAATGTTGTTTGGATATGAAAATAAGTATTAAATCATGTCTGATGTTATAACTCATTGTACGCCGAAATAACCTAGAATTGGCCCCACAGGCATTTTAGAAAACATGAATAGGTTGCTTTGACATTACCACCGTGGTTATAAAGTAGAGCATGGTTTTAACGAGTGGAGGTATTTTGCCGTCGGTACTGTTATCGGCACAATTTCAGCTGCAATGGTGGTGATGTTCCTGTAAACCTCAAAGGGGGGTACACGGAGCCCTGGGGGTACATGAAGGCACTCCAACGGCTACTTGAGATTTTAAAAAAGACATGATCCAAATGATCATCCATTCAAAAGTCCTTTTAAAAATAGTTATTTAAGTAGGTTCAGAAACTGGGTTTTATATTTAGTAGGCTATTCAATTTCATTATCCTAAAACCTAAAGTCCCTCTATCCACGGATGGTTCGACCCCCAAGCTCGCACGCGCCACCTGTCTTTGCCTGTCAATCACTGCCGCCTCGAAAAACACAAACAAAGGAGTCGTGGTTGAGGCGCGACGGCGATGCCTCTGAAAGCGCAGAGGGACAAGTGCCGAAAAAAAGCCATCTCAAGACTACACATGCAGATGCTTTCTGAATTCAGGTCATCTCAAGACACGATGCGGAAAACCTCCACGACATCAGCCAGAGCCCCGGAGGCCTCTTATGTGGTGTCCTTGCTCCCAGCTAAAGCCAAGAAACCGCTCGCCGGAGCCGAAGACCTGCTCCTTCCAGCCGCTGTTGTGCTGGCTGAGACCACGCTGGACTCAAACGCAGCGGAGAGAAATTAAGGACTTTTGCCTTCTTCAAAATGACTCTGTGTCCTGCCGAGGACATCAAATGGGAACAGACATCGTCGAGCGAGTTGTGGGGAAACCACGACGACTCTTTTCCAACTCCAGCTGGATGAATCCGCAAAAGTCAGCGGAAAGGCACGACGTGTTGCTTTTTGTGAGAAACATTGATCCTGACGACATTTTATGAGCACATTCTATTTGGAGGGGAGAACAAGGGATGACAGGGCCTTTTCGATGTTGTCAACACCTTTTTGTGAAAACTGCATGGGCTGGAAATCCTGCTGCAGCATCCGCTGCACGGTCGCAGCAGCACCATCGATGGCGGGCAGCGCGAAAGAACGCGAATTAAAAAGCGAAACCCCTCCCCGACGTGAAGTAGACTCATTGTGTCATACAAACGAAAGCATCGGCGTCCAAGAAACTGAGCCCTTTGTTACACCACGTTCTGAACGACAGCCTCGGAGTGATGCACGCCGGTTTTGCCGCCTCTGTGGAAGCACGCTGTTTGCACACAGAAGTGCGCTCGCTCTCGGGGGAGATGCTCAGCCGGCTGTTTGAAATTTACGATCTGAAATGCGCACACCTTTCTGATTGAGAACCGGTCTCCTCGCGCCACCTTGTTCCAGGACACAGGCTGGCTTGGAATGCGAGTGTTATCTGGCAGATGTACTCAGACAAAACTGAGCGAGCAGAATATGCCTGTGCAGGGGAAGGACAGCGGCATTTAAAACCTGTTTGACAAGGTGGGAGGCTCCCCCAGGGAAGCAGAGCTGTGGAGCACGGCTTTTGCACAGGGGACTTTCACAGGCTTTCCTCAGGTGGATGATTTCCTCTCCAGCGAGGATGTGGACAGACCTCCGGTCATAAAGGGACATTCGCCCAACTTGATTCAAGATGTGCATTCCTACTTTCCTGACACGGAGGTGAAATCTGCACAGGTGCATTGGGTGAGAAACCCATTTCTTTGGTTTGAAGCAAACAAAAGCAAGCCACATGTCACTGACCGTGGCCTCCAGATGGAGTTTGCCACATCCACACAGGTTTGAGTGCGTGTGTGTGAATCGCGAGCACCCTGACCCGGGACAGAGAGCTTGGGATCAGCTACTACTCTTTGCATCCACATATTTATGTGAGGCTTCCTTATCTGCAATGACTTTGATCAAAACAAAGAAAAGAAACTACCAGGAGACGAGCTTGGTCAGTTGCCTCCCTGCCAAGACTATCAAATATCCTCAGTAAAGCACAAGTTCCTCACTAAATCATGAATGAAAAAGCACTCTGTTCAACCCATTAAGGTAAATGTCAGTGGGGACAGTTCAATAAATCTGGCCTTGGGGTACAGCAATGTGTATTACGTCTTTCTTTGAACCAAACATGCATTGCGCTGGGCTGAGAAATATTTCAAGTATTGGAGTATTTCGCAAATGTTGAACCACTGCTGTAAGCTTATCCACTTGTGCCCGTTAAATTCTGCTTATTTCTGTTCAGCAAAAGTGAACGGAAATAAGCTGCTGTCTTCCGTTATGGATACAGAATAATTATATAGAATGTGCGGCTTTGTCCAATTTCCTCATATTAGACAAAGCTGTCCATGGGGTCTCCAGAAAGACAGAAAAATTGATTGGATGAGACACACAGATTCCTTTTATAGTTGGTTTCATCTACAGGCATTGAGATAGCTTCTTTTCTACTAAACATAATTTTAAAGAAATTATTTGTTGTCGAGGGTCTGAAGGTAGAGTAGTGTTAGAAGTACAGCTTATAGACTTTTAAGACATTTTGAACCCACAAGGTGTCTTGCGATGGTTTACATACATGGCCCGGCTGCAGACCGTAGACGGATGAGCTGAGCTGTCAGGTTCCAAAATGGGACTGCTGAGTCCGGCAGGTTAGCAGATGTCACTGCAACACTACTTTGTATTGTCAGATTCTAAAATGATGATCGAAACGCTGGACGGTAAAGTCAGTGTCACATTCAGTACTATCCTTGCCAATTCAGACTGGAAGCCATCACACAGCTGATACATTCTGTCATAATGCTCACAGTTTGCCAGTATCGGGGGTTTAGAACTGGAATAATATAAATATACTCCTATCTTGTAGTTGTACCGCCCCATTTTCAATTATGGTTGTGGTTATAAAGCCAGCTTTTAGTCCGTGATTAAAATGACTCAACAACAATGTTCACCTGGTGATGTGTTTTTTTGAATAACCAAGTTAGTCCTGCAAAACGGCACCACACATTTTTTTTAGAAATATGATAATAAAATGGCCAGATTGACTTTTCCTGCCCTTTCACATAAATCATCATTCAACCCATGTGAGCGCAGTGCTGCATGTCCACTTACAAAGTCCGGAATATTCCATCAGTGAGTCTTTCAAATGTCTCATAAACGTTGTAAACACACTTGAAGGCACCATAAACTCGTTCCATATCAGCCTCCTTATCAACAAGAAGCTTCAGGGGCTCATAACTGCTTGTATCACATGGAATATAGTTTGTTGTAGTGTAATACTATTACAATGTGCTAAAGTAATTTATAGATAGTTTCAAGGCTCTTAACTTTGCACTGATAGTACCACCGCCCCCCCGCCCCCCGTTGTCCGTGTCGTCCTTTTTTTAGCCTTTAATTGATGGCGCATTATGTAATTAAAATCTGGCATTAATGCAACATCCAAAATAAGTACGTGGTCCGACCCCCTCCCTCCACCGAACCCCTGCGCTGCAGCTGCCCAAACCCTTTCCTCAAACAGCAGCATAGCGGCATGAGGAATGTTGCCTTTTAGGGTAATTTATTACATTTACAGTGCTGGTAAAAATGAACTTCGATATAAGGGATTTGTGCTCTATAATTGAATCAATACAAAGTTGTATATCGTCAGCAAAGCTATGAAATGTACTTTAAATACCAACATCAGTCAGATTTATGGAGTAGAAGCAAAGCTTTGAAATGCATGACATGAGTCACCTGCATTGTTGAATAAAGGTATTGAATACGATGAGCCTTTTGAATAATTCCAGTACTTATATTTTCCACGACCAGATATGAATAAGCTTAAGGATGTGAGGACGGTCAATTCTCGCCCTTTAGAGTTGTTGGCAACTTCCAAAATGAAAGGGAAGGTATTTTTTCATATAGCTTTATTATTTCTGCTTTAGGGCTGGAATGTGTTTACATGTTTGATTTTCAGATACATGCGCATTATTTTAAACATGACACAGAAATGAGCCTTATGAACATGAAAGGTCTTGTTTCTGCTAAACACAATTTTGAAAGTGTTGAAAATATGGAGGCTGGGGCAAAATCTAAAGGAAATATATTCGCTCAATAGTCTTTTAAGCTAACCGTACATGAAACAGAAAATCCCTTTTACTCAGGAGAGTTTCATATTTTTGAACTCCGCTGTCAGCACGTTACGTAATTTGCAGGAATATGTAATGAGGCCGAGATAAATGTTGATTTATCTTTCATAAATTAATCATTATGCATGGCATGAGTTGGACAGTGTAAACCTTCTCAATAGAAGGTAGTACTCTATTTGAACTGAGGTCACCTCTACAAATGAAAAACAGATTATTTGCGCTAATATGAGACTTTGAGGTTAAATAACCTGCGAGTTAACAGAATTTATCTACATTAATTCTACCTGATTACCTAGCACCTCAAAGGAAACTATATATATATAACCTGTATTCACATTTAATGTAATAATAATGTTAATACACTAACATTCCGAAATGGGTTTTAGCTGAACTGCTTGTATTTAAATTGAGACATACTTTTTGTAATTTAGTGAGCTCAACTAAATGATCACACTGATCTCTGGCTTTCCACCATTTGTTGCAGGGAACCTTTGGACCCCTTTTTCTTGGGGATGTTTCGTCCCAGTGGGAGGTGCGTGACGGGAGTGCAAAGGGAACGAGGAGATTCATTGGATGTATCAGGGAACTTCAGGTCAACTCAAAGGAGATTTACCTGGTGGGTGAGGCAGTGAGAGGACGAAACATCCAGGATTGTGACCCGCCTGTGTGCCAACACCTTCCATGTCGTAACGGAGGAACTTGTGTCAGGTACGAGATCACCTGTTACACTGATGAAAAATGTACTAAGGGACTGTTTAACATGAAAATAAAAATCTTATCATTTCCTTTCATACTATAACTAAAATGTATAACAAGCAAGAAACTACTCCATGAATTAGGTTAACTTTTTTCAATTTAGGCCTAATTTAGTGTGCACTGTAAAGTATTGGACTAGGACTCAACATAATAAATTGATTATTGATTACCACGAATAATGGAATTTGTGCACGTGATTATGTGAAACGCAACATTGCATGGGTTGGAACACTAAAATAATCCAGCTGTACATCCCTTGATTTAAACTAAGTCGTCAAGTTCTTTGGGAACAAGGAAATATTTCGTGCGGTCGCCACAAAGCCACACGCCCCTTCGGTGCATTGAGGGCCGCTTAGTTCACACAATCTTTTGTCTGAGATCAGTTCAATCCTCAAAACAATCAGAGGAACCTGTCCTCCGTGTGGAGGCTGGCAAACCGCTTCTATTACTGTAGGCATGTCGCGACAGGCCAACACGTACTAGCAATGTAAGTATATATCATCATATAGAGCCTTTGCGAGTGTGAACAATGTTTTTTGTTCTTGCAAAACATTGATTTTACAGAGTAACGTGTGCTAATGCCTTGACAGCTACTTAAGTCTCAGATGCAGCGTTACATGAAAGGACAAACTCTGTCATAGCCAGTTCCTTCCCGTTCTATAGGTAGATTCTATAAAGCTACAGTATTTGCATTGCAACAGGAACCTATTGGCAAAATATGTGAGGCTCATTCTCCCTTCATCTTTATCTAGTACAGCTCATCAGACTGCCATCAAACCCCACTTACCGGCAATTTTGACCGTCTTTTTAAGTGTGCATTAACTACACACGGTGCTCTTTCACCTCAGGTAATCCTGCAAAAAGCTGCTCCAAATGTCTTCTTCATTGTGTTATGATACTGTCAATTAAGACTTGCTTTTATTAAACAGGAAATGAAAAGGGGCACAGAGAATATTGGAATGGGAATGGCTCTAAGCATACCAATTATGAGTCGCGGCATTATGGTCACATTGGCTTGTCATGTGCGAAAGAGTGCACCTTGCAATTATCCGTGTGATGAATATGTGTTAATGCAGTATCCTCTTAAACTCCACAGCATGCAGGGGTCATCGAGAGTGCATAGAGCTCTCCTCATTCAGTTAGTTGCTCTGGATTGTCACTGTCACAACGTAATGGGATGAGAAAGGATTTTCATTGTGGGTTCAGTCGAGGCGATATTAGCGCTGTCCCATTTCAGTGTGGTATTCCGTTCACTTAGGCATGCCGATATGTCGATATCAGACCTGAGGGGACAATGTGCGATTGGCGGATGACACATAAATATTAGATATTTCAGTGACATCAACGGGAAAAGCTGGTCGATCTACTAGAAGGACCTTGGCCTCTGTGTTCTACAGTGCCACTTTTGTTACTCCGGATGTCTGTGTAATCTGTAGCCTCAGCTGCAGGCTGTTGAGTCCATGTTACTGACCGCATATAGAGCAGAGGAAAACATCAAAGCAGAAGCGGTTTCCAAGAGACATACAGCCGTACTCGTGTGTACCGTGCATTCGCTCTCTCCAAACTCAAGAAATCTGGAAATAAGAAAAAAAAAATATCATCAGAGAAAAATAAAGTATTTATACAGCCAGACATGTTATCTCCCAATTAGACAATTTATGAAAAATGTTTCAAGCTGCACACCCCCTGTATAATCTGCATACCGATGTGCAGGTGTACCAGTGCGACAGTAACAATGTAATATCCTTGACGCATCAGTGAGGGTGGCAAGTGTAGGAGCAGGTGGGCATACGCTGCAGGGGGTCTGTCGTTACGTCACAAGGACTCTCCAATCTACCCATCTATATTGCACCCAGCGATTTTCAGTTTCTCATTTCTTTCTCATTTCACAAGCAGCTGCTCGGAGACACGTGGCTGGCAACAAGAGGTCACTCTCCTTTTAGCTCCGTTTCTGGTAAAAGGGCATCGCTCTTTAGTTGCTTAATGCTCCACTATGTCCACAAGCTTTTTTTCGTCTGTTCAGCAGGGAGTATGAGGTTCAGGAGACTGATGAGTCAGCCAAAAGACTGAATTTGTATGGATAAACCAAAAGGGATTAGCTATAAAACACTGACGTGCTGAGGGTACAGCAGCACTGAGTAGGACTTCTTCACTAATATGTGTACATTTCACACAGACCGGCTCTTGATTCATTGTTAATTTAAAAGTGTGATAGCCTCGTTAAAGTTTACATCAGAATGTGACGGGACGCGTTGTCCTTGGATTGCATAAATAGAGTGTGGAGGCAGCCTCTCACACAGCCTGTGCTGCTTCTGTTAATTGGCTGCAGCAGAGATGGTGCCTTGCTCATTCTGTGATGGTGCACCTCCCGCAGCACACAAAGCTCCACAGTGAATTCTCCCGGTGCTCCACTCCACTGCCTGCAAACACAGTCAAAAAAACAAAACAATTCAGCCTTAATCAGAGCTCTAGCTATACTTGTTTCAAATAACCTATAATATAATGCACGGTCCAAGAAACAAATATTTTAGTTCACCATGAGAAAGAAACATTGCTTTGATCCTGTGTGCGTCAGTAGTCCCTAAAGTATATTTCCACAGAAAACTTGCTCGTTACAGGGTTTATTCCATTGTGTCATTGAATTTTGGAGGACGACTACTTCCAGTACGAACAGCGCAATGGTGTTTTTTAACCAAATTGGCAATTATTTTTACACAGACATTTTCTTGTTAGAAAATGAGTTACTGTTTAACCTTGACATGTTTAGAAATAACTGATAATAATTTAAAAAAAAGGTAAAATCCAGGAACGGGAAATACCGTGCATTAGCACAGTATACTGAATAGAAATAATGGCTGAAAAGGATACAAGGGCAAGTACCTTGAAAGGACCAAATACCAGCCATAAGGCCGACCTGTTCACCAGACTACTGGTTCTTTGTGAAGACGTAAATCTGCAGAGAGACCTCATGAAAATAAATTCTTCCAGTTGTTAGCCGAGTATTTACAGCAGTGGATGGAGCCACATTTTTTACTACCCCGCATGGGATTGACTCAAAACGATGGTAATGGTGAAACGGTAAAGTTGATGTGTGTATCAGATTCGCAAACAAGAATATGTCGTACGGTTTTTGAGGCAGAACTCGTCAACGTCGTTCTTCTGATAACCAGCTTCATAACATTCGACTGCATGATGCCTCTAGTACCGCACATCTGATGTTTGTCTCCACATTTGCTCAAAATCAGCTTGGTGAACCAAAAAATAAAGTTATAGTACACATGTGTTAACAATGGTATTTTTAGGTTATCAGTATTAAAGCAGTAACAAATCTATTTACTGCAATATAGATACACACACACGTGTGTGTGCGTGTGTGTGTGCGTGTGTGTGTGTGTGTGTGTGTGTGTGTGTGTGTGTGTGTGTGTGTGTGTGTGTGTGTGTGTGTGTGTGTGTGTGTGTGTGTGTGTGTGAGCACATGTCCATGAAGCCATCATTTGCCGAATCCTTTTGTGGAAGACATTGTTAGGAAGGAAGTTGTTCTCTACAGTAAAGAGAAGAACACATCTTGTTATTTCATCCATTAAGCATAAGTCAGTCTCTGATGTTCTGACCCTTTTTCGTTTAATACCTGTATTTTGTTTCCTTTGAGAATTATTTTAGCTCCAGCACCCCGTAGTCGAGGAGTCAGTGATCCTTTGAGCTGAGTTCTTTGGTCTCCTTCCATTTTTTTTAAACACTATTTCAGTTTTTGTTCCAACAACAATACAGCTTAACGTGTTGCTTTTGTCTTTGCAATCGATACGTCTTGTTTTGAACATTCAGCCCGACGACAGCTTGCTGGTCTGTTAGAGAGAAAGAAAACCAGTGACGGTGCTGCATAACAGCATGCGGTCCAAGAAAATTGACAGCACTTCCCCAAGTCCGAAACAAAAAGATCTTATCATTTTGCATGAATTATTCCTCCTGAATCCATGTCACTGAAGAAATGTTAAATCATTGTAACAACTTTACTTTCGAGACATGAGGTCAATAGTCTTTTTTTCGTAGTTTTATGGGAAGATTACTTTCCTTTTTTGTGAGTTTAGAATAGTAAAATGAATGAATACACAGGCACATTTAAAAGGTGATGGATTTAAACATGCGAGTACACTTTAAAAGTGTTCCAGAAAAGCTCAGCGTTGCCCGAGCAGCGTCTTTCAGGGAGTTGGACTTCACAAAATGCCTTCTGATCCCTTTGAAATGTTTGTTTGTGCATCATCACCTCCTTTCTATAAGGATGTTGTTTCAAGTATCATCTAAAGATTGCGTTTCCATGGAAGTATGTTTCAAAAAGAATGCCTGGAAGAGGTCGTGGAAATATCGAACGGCCGTCTGTGCCTGAGTGCGCCAGGTGAACGCCATGTGGAAATTCCACTTCATCCCTCTGCTCATATCGGGATTTGGATGACAAATAATTGAGTGAGGAGCCAGTCTTCCTTTAGAAGATTTTTCCTCCCACGCACACCAAGAATTACAGTCTCTTTAGCCGGCATAACGGTGTCCAATTGGCTGTTCTACAATGCTGGAAAGAAAATAACATTTCAGTTCCGAAGCAGTTATTTTCTATAAATAATAGCTCCAGAACAGAGAGGTCTTTTTTTTATTTTAACAAAGGACAAAGTGGGCTGAATGCTTCCAAGCAGAGGACTGAATCCCGCCGTGGCAGGAGATCCTCATCACGATCTCACTGTATGTAAGGCAATAAGTGCGTTTGCATACGAACAATCACTCGAAGAGAAGTGTGCTGTAAATAACTAACGAGGGATTGGAATTTTAGAAATGCATACATGGCAGCACAGCGAACTGTTCCTGCTGTCAGGGATATCATAAGATGATGGTCAATTATTCATTGTTTTGTCTGGTACTCATTAGATTAAAAATGTAGCGTTACTTAATATTTCATCCAGCCTATGTGCTGCATCCGTGCAGCCTTTGAGTGGCGGGAGAAATGACGAGCACCAACTTCAGGCATTTGTGATAGACATATTCAAATTAGTATGCAAACATTACAACAATTACGTAATCAGTGATTGCTTCTGTTAAATTCAAATAACCTTCTGTCGTCCCACACATTGCGTTGTTTGATTAGGCCAATTAAAACTCAAGTGTTGTCAAACATACTCCTTTGCCTCCTTGATACGCTTTACCTTAATCAATCCACAATGTATGCTGCTTGTTTGAAGGTGTTGGAAACAACATTGACGACTGAAAGCATGAAGCTTTTCAATTGAAATGAATTAAGGATTTGTTAAACGATCTAATGCTTCAATCTCGAGCAGGAGTGACACAACATCAGCTGAATATATTGAAGAGATTATGTATCTGTAGTAGACTTTTTTAACGTTTTTCTTTTATATTTAAGAAATCAACCCCGTAAATATAATTTCTACAACTAGAAGAAACAATTTGAGTTTTATGTTAAATGTATTCATACTTACCTTCACAACTACCAGCAATTTACCACGTTTGACTGGAGGACCATTTTTACGTCACCAACATTTCAAAATGACCAGTAGCTGACGATGAACGGGACCTATTATCAGCATCAGGACCTGCTCCGTTATATATTTGATTCTTCCCCTTGTAGGTTGTCAAGCCTGTTCAGTTTGTTCCATAACTATTTTCATCTGTGATTGTTACTTTGAAAATAAAAGTCACAATCCTCAGCATGTGTCGCAGTGTATTGTGCCTTAAAATGTCTTGAAATTGGCAGCCTTTTGATAATCATGCATTACATTTTCCCACGTTACAAAACATCCTTGTGTACTTCAATACATCAAACAATGCTCAACTCCAGTGACAGAATTTAAATACATCATTTGAAGAAGAAACCAGTTTTGCATTGAGCAAAATGCATCCTGCAGTGGCTGCTGCTCAAAACACATTATTAATTTATAGACTTGAAAGCCCACTGATGCTTCCTCTGTCTGATAATATACCTTTCAGAGCCGTGCACATCATAGTGCATGTTAGAAAGACCCTGTCTGAATATTACTTTGCATGCTAGATCCCCTTCCTCTTCCTGCTTTGAAAGGAAGCGCATGCATATAGATAGCGGAACCAAGATGACAAAATCCTGTGCAATTTTCTGCCACACTACTAATCATCTACTCTCTGCTGTTATTTTTGCGGATGCATGTTTACCTTTACCAAAAGTCATTTCTGCCTCTGCAGCCGCATGCCACTATCCACACGATGCTCCCGAAAGCTTGTGTTCCAGCAGATCTTCTACCGTACGTCCCGTATATCCCATCAGGCCCCTCAGCGGTGTTTTGTCATTATCTCCCCGTTCCGTTGGCCTGTGTGAAGCATCTGGACGTGCTGCAATGTCATGGTCCATTTTAACCTCTGGCATAATGATCTCTCCCTCTATGTGGACTCGTTTAGCGATGCCGAGGACTGGTTCTGTGAGTGCCCCCCTCTTTACACCGGCCGGCTGTGCCAGTTCAATGCCTGTGAGCGGAACCCCTGCGGTCACGGAGCCACATGCATCCCGAAGTCTCCGCTGGAAGCCGTGTGTCTCTGCCCCTACGGAAGACAAGGTCTACTGTGTGGGGAACGTAAGTGTCACAAAGAACAGCTTTGCACAGATAGTAGTGAAAATTTAGGACAAACAGTTGACAGCCCTTAGCAGTTTGGAACAACTGCTAAACAGAACACAGAAAAAGGTTTTAAGAGCGTTTTAAGTATCTAGTCTATGATTGCAAACAGTGATATGACGAGAGATAAAATATGGAGGCTTTTGCTGGTCTTAAGTGACTGTAAGCGCAGCGGGGTGCTTGGCACAGTCCTTGACTTTGTCACAGCCCTTGATAGACTTTCTGCACCCACATCCTCAACGGAGTAATCTAACCTTCTAGTGTCAAACTCCGTATACGGCCGACATTTGAACTCAATCCTTATTACATCGGATAAGATCAGAGTCCAAACTGATCGCTCACAGGTCCCCTGCCTCTGTGGCCTTTTCGGTATGGTATTGGGTGCGCTCATGTGGCGTCCTTATCTAAATACTTTCAGTTATAGAATGGCAGGTGTCTTTCATGTGAGGGAGTTTTAAAGTTGTTTGTCCAGCAGTAAACATGACAGAATTGTTTTTGACAGGGATATGTTTTGTTCAGTACCCATGTGCACTTTAGTAGATAAGGTTGGTCTAATGAAAAAGCAGGAAAGGGAATACTAGGAAGTAATATTCATGCTGAAATGCCTCAAAACTCAAGCTCATGAAACCTTCATAAATACTTTGAATTACTCCACTCAGAAGCTGTAATGATTTACCTTGGAATAAAAAGGGCCTATACCTCTTGTTAAAGATTTCATTATTAATTGAGCCAAAAGGAAAAGGAAAGTCACAGGTTGTGAGTACACAAAGCCTAAGCCTGTCATACTAAAACATAATACCAACATTGGTTTTAACAGAAACAACAGCTAACAATAGAAATAATGTAATTCTTTTAGTTCATCTTATTTGCATACATTTGATACAATCTATTTCCGATGGTATTAATTCTGTGATTAAACACTGAGCAATCTTACCGGTATTGAAGTTTCTTTTCTCCAGGGCTTGAAAAGACTAATTCTGTATATCATATAAATAGCTCAGGGCCGTCGATGCTCGATGGCAGCTACGATGCTCAATTACCACACATGCATTTTTTTCAAAACGCATAGTGCTATCTGGCAGTTCAATTTTCTCCTGTTGGTTTGCTCCACCTTGCACAAATAAATACCAAAGTAGAAATGCTTTGTAATATTATTTGAAAGAGAGGGTTGTTAGCATTGAAAGATAGATGCATTTGACAGAGGTCTTCCTCAAGTCTCTCTGTGAAATAATATATTCTGCAGCTTCTAGTCCGTTTCCCAGCCCTGCGTTGTACTTTGTAGTGTTTTCCAATGAGGACGTGTTTAATAGACTATGAAGAGAGAAACACACGACCGTATACCAATACACCTAATGATTTCTGTTGATTGTGTTCAGATGTCCTTTACAATGCTAGTGGCTCACGTGTAATGGCTGAATTAGTAGGCTGAGGGACGGAAACCTAAAGATGTACTTAGTAACTCACTATACTAAACACCTCCAGCATCTCTAGGGGTATTATAGAACATGTTCAATCTAAATGGGTGCTATTCAACTCCACAAAATGTAAGCATAATGATAAAAAGTAAACGTTTTTGGAGGCGTATTGGTACTGCAGGATAATCCCATATGGAACTATAAAGTCTGACATCAATGAAAGTTATTTGGAATGTTTTATTTGAGAAATGTATTTGAGGAAAACGAGACCGTGTCAGAGAGGTGTTGATTTAACTTCTCGTTATACTCTTGGCCACCTGTCTAATATACAATCGCAGGGTATCAAAACCTCACAACTCAATGGAACTTAGATAGCGACTTGTTTTTTTTTTTTTACAAGCGATCGCCTCAAGTTTGTAATTTTAATAACAACACAACCCCAAATTTAGAAACCAAGTTTTTTTTTATGACGAGGCATAAAGTCGATCATGTAGATGATCAGTTCCAACTCACACTCGCAGCCAGATGTAGCCGTTCCAGTTCACTCAGTAAAACAATGGCCAACGCGGCTCCACCAGACGAGGAATGATAACTGAAGCATTTCTAGCTTCATTAATAAGTTAGCAGCCAAACGCAGCCTGGGAGAAAGCTCTGAACCCCTCTTAGCCACCGCCTGTGGCTGCAGACGAATATGCAAGGTGTTTTGTTTTTTGGAATAAACAGAAAAGGACAACAGCATGTCATTCTGAATGAGCGTGGGGAAATTTACATTGAGTCCCCAGAGTAAAATCAAGTAGATGGGTGTGCTGAGATGGAATACAAGAGGGTATTATTGAATCAACCATGCGTTCCGACCAAGTAATCTTGACATTATAATTGAACATCGCTGGGATTATTGTGCAACCCGTGTGAACATTGGGTATGAAGCAATGCGCGTCTGCTACGACCCCTCCAAAACAGCTACTAATGAAAATAGGAGAGGACTGAAGAGGTGATAGTGTTCGAAAACCGGTCATCATTCAACGGCATTCAGAAAGGAGGAAATTTCACCAACCCCTGATGTGTGTAGCAATAGTGCCATCTTTTGGCAGCCTGCGAGGGAGATGGGAGGGTGACTCGAGCCGCAGAGAAACCTGTACATGCACCAGCCATCGCAATTCTCACACATATATGAAATAAATGTGTTTATGAACGTGTTTGTGTTGCAGCCATCAACATAACTCAAGCCAGATTCGGTGGAAGTGATGAGTTTGGTTACACGTCCTTCCTGGCTTATTCCTCCATGCCGAGCCTCAGTCTCTTCTATGAGTTCAAGCTGAAGTTCACGCTTGCCAATTATTCATCTGCTGTGAAAGACAACCTGATGCTGTTTGCTGGGCATAAAGGACAAGGTGAGGTCAATGTGGACAAATCCGCACGGCAACACAAAACCATTCTGACCGTCCGATGAAACGAGGTAAACGTCTCCTTAGTTGGATTTTAGTTGTCAAACTTCATTAAGGATTTTAAAAGAAGTGTTTTCAGAAATTCAGCCCGCTGCTTATGGTAATATACTATCTATTAGATATCCAATCTCCCCTGAGATCCTCTAATCAAGAGGATTCCCCGAGGATCTTCTTTCTTGGCAGGTTTCAAGACATTAATAAAGAATCTTCCTACAGTCTAGTAATTGATTGATATCCAGCTAAGCGGTTATTGTTCTTCACTTTCAAAGAGCGCGTTGGCATTGCTAGAACAAAAAGGAACATGCTAACCAAGCATCTCAAAAGCAACAGTCTTAATTCCATGAAACAGACTTTGATGTGTCGGTGCAATGTGATGCTGTCAGCAGCCATCACTTTAAATTAGGATCTCCCTTCTGTGAGGTCAGACTTGGAAGCAGGTAACTGCCGTCTTACTGTCGCCGGCATGTTTTACAAAACAATGATGAAGTATAATAAAAAAGAAAAACAATGAAAAGATTCATTGTCAAAGTAGATGTTACAGAATTGCAGAATGAATGAGGAAACGTGTCTACAGGGCTCCTGACAAACTATGTGTCTTTTCCAGGCAATGCCGGTGACGACTTCCTCGTTTTGGGACTACGAAATGGCAGAGTTCTGCACAGATTCAACCTCGGATCTGGTGTAGCAACCATAGTCAGTGATCGACTTAACGACCAGATCAACGTTCACTCCGTTACATTCGGACGGTCCAAGAGAACGGGATGGCTGAAGGTGATTTGGTGTTTACTTTGTGTTGTGGGACCACCTCAAGCCTCCAAACCAGCTTCAATGCTTCACATATCCATATCCTGACATAGTAACCTGTGAAACCGGCCCGTTCAAGCAGGTCCCAAAGTTATGAAAATTGTGAAGGAAATATTTATTTTCCTTAACATTTTATCTAAGAAAGGATGAATGATGCCTTTTTTTGATTTGTATGTGTCTAGAAATGTTCTTAATAATGAATTTATTCATTAAAAGATTTGATTTGAGCTTTTTTACCCTTCTGAAAACAATCTCAGGAGGTGAATGAACTCTTCAGTTGACCTGCCCGTGACCATTTGCATATCCATGAAAAGGATATTTGCATCATCTAACTAGCCATAAAATAGCTACTGTGGCAAAAAGGCAAATTGGTGCCGCAATAATTCAATGATCAATCCAAAGTTGGATTCACTTTTGTCTTTAAATAAATTGTACTCCAATGGCGCCAACGTACCGCTGTTGCCACATTCGACTCCTTTTCTCAGGTTGACGGACAACGTAACAGAACAGGATCCGCTCCGGGGCTGCTGTTGGGCCTCAAGGTTTTCAACCAGCTCTTTGTTGGTGGATATAATGAGTACACTCCTGAACTGCTGCCCCTCGGATCCAGGTTCCGTCACGGCTTTCTGGGTAAGGCTGATACAACTTCATTACAACACACAACTGTTGTCTAGTTATCCCACCGGCGCTGGTGCGAGTTTCTGTCGGCCTCTTTGTCAGCAGAGGGGACGGTGTGTAATGGAAGTGTTAGTGGACGGCTGTGTGAGGCCACGACCGAGCTTTGAGGATTGCTTGAATCTGCGCGCTTTTAATCACTTTTACGGCCCTCTACACTTTTGCACTGTGTGCAAATGCATTTCGCTGCTGATAAGTCACTCTGTACAAATCGTCTTTGTCTTCAAAAACATCCCCCATGCTTTCTCTCTGGTGACCCCATGCAGGAAGGTATTCCGGAGAACATTCATTGTGGCCGCTAATGTGCGGAACTGTGGGGCAAAATTGCCATAACCGTAATGAAGACGAGCGCTATGAATACCATCATAACCATGCAGAGCTCGAGTCTCTCCACTACAGCGATGCCGCTTGTTATGATAAAATGTCACGACGGATCCATTTGGAGATTTTAATATTTAAGGACTGCAGCTTTTTCGTGTGTTTGCTTATTCATCATTGCATTATTCATTTAGTCGCCTGGCAAATAAACCTTCCAAAATGAAATTGGCTACGGTAAGGTACGGTTTGCCCATTTTGTACGGGTTTGTCACAGTGCTTACCAGTGGAGAGGCCACTATCTGAGTCATGCGACCCTGGTGGTACCATAACCTTTTTACTCAGGATGTAATGAGAACTCCTGGCCGTCTAATCAGATCTCTGTGACCTTCCTCAAGCCGTAATCATGATGGCCGGCAGTGAACAAACTGATAATGCACTTCACTCCCAGTTATCAACAGATCCACACTCCCCTGTGGATAGGTGACAGTGAAGGTAGTGTGGCTTCTGGGGGGGAAAAGATCCGTTCCTCAATTTAAGCTGTTGCTCAAATAACAAACAAACTGGCAGGTGTGTGTGCGAGAAGTGAATTCAAAGGAATTGAGGTTCGTTTACCTTTTGAACCCAAGTAATTATAGGCAATTAGGAGGAAATGTGCTCTTGGAACTAAACTTCAAGATCTTTTTTTTTTTTCTGACAGGTATCGCAAGCTGCTGCTTCTTTTACAAGAGTGGATGAATGCTGATAAAACAAATAGACAGCTTTTATAATCCTACGTGATTTGCTTTTTGGCGCTTTCCTTTTTTCAGCGTCGTAGCCATCCTTTGGCGACCAAGACCCCATGACATGAATATTCATGAGTGAGCAAGACATTCCCCCTGCATCCTGTTTATGCCAATGACTAATGCAGCACGAAGACAGGACTCTGCATGTGACTGCATGGCTTTTTTTTTTGTTTTCTTTCCGGCCTCATATTTATAGACGCCCGGTGCTCTGCAGGTACTCGCCAAAGCAAATATTGTCTTGATAAAATTACATTATGAAAAATATGAAGCGGCAGACGCATGATGACTGAGGACGTCTCGGATGTGAACTGTAGAGGCTGCAGAGATTATATTTCATTCAATTTAAAAGGTTACATCTAATAAAAGCATGCCGATTTCTGTATGTAAACTTGATATATAGTATAACCCTCGTTTCATTTTGACTACCAGACACATTTGGAGAGGTTTTTTGCCGTTATTGGCCTTATTTGAGAGGGAACTCAACTCTACTTAATCCAATTTTAGTGTGTTCGCTATAAATCTTCATACCAGGAAGGAACGCTGCGTTTCTTCTGACAATCCCCTATCCGAGTAATTAACGATATCTCTCTGACGTACGGCCATTTTTTTCTCCCCCCCATTGTTTCGAAGGGTGCATTTTTGACATGCAGTTTCGTACAAGAAGGGACGGAAAGTTCCAAGTGCTGGGGCGTCCTGCGTTTGGCCGCAGCGTGGGTCAGTGTGGCATCGACCCCTGTGTCCACGTTCACTGCAGAAACGGAGGGACCTGTGTGAACTCCGGCTCGTCTGTGTAGTAAGTGAAAACACGCCATATTTGGAAGGATTTTCCTTATTATTTAGAATTCCACCCCTGCATAAGCTACATAGACTTTTCCGATGAGTTCTATTCACCCAGCAGCTCTGTGTCATGTGTAAATTGCCATTTGTATTGTGACTAGACATCAATGCCTCATAGAAAATCAGTTACACAGTGCAAGTGCAGCAAAAGGAATTGACAGTGTTTACAAGCTTTTCTCGGCCTGTGTGTGTGTGCGCGTCCGCAGTTGCCAGTGCCCATTTGGATGGAAAGGAGCACTCTGCTCTGAGACCGTGTCTGTGTGTGATGTGGAGCACAGCCCCCCTCCCCTCTGCGCCCACGGCTCCACCTGCATCCCACTTCCAAGTGGATACTCCTGCCAGTGCCCCCTGGGGGCTGCGGGGCTCTACTGCGGGAAAGGTTGCAGAATGGATTCATAACCGAACAATGATGTTTATTTTTCAATATATTTCTTAAGACGAGATCTTCACTATTCAATCACTGCTTTGTTCGTTTGCCTGTTCAGCTATTGCCATCAGTGATCCGTTCTTCAGCAGCAACCAGTCTTCATGGATGTCATTCCCACCCACGAGGACTCGGCACAGGACTGTCGTGCAGCTGCAGTTCCAGCCTTTATCGCCCGATGGCATCCTTGTCTACACTGCACAACATCTCAGTGCCAGAGCTGGTGAGGACATTCAATCCCAATTTATTTTAATGAGTCAAATATTAGGTTTACCCTCTGCGGAATGTCGACATGTAAGAAGCAGGGTGACTATTTTCTTTGTGTGTCTTGCCATGGGACACATTATAGCAGTCATTGTTTGACAGTATTACATGTCATACACTCTGTTGTGAAGATTATATAATGCTCTTTCTGTAATTCTATACTGTCCGATGAAAACCGTTGCTTCAAATATTCTTCATGCATCTATATTTAATGCTGAAGCCATTGTGTCATACAGCTATCGTCATATGAATCATAATTGTATTACATATTTATGACCTAGAATTCTATTACTAATTGATGGCCTACTTTACAATTTAATGACATACCATAATATTACATAAAGTCGAGGTAAATGTGCGGTAAGGTCAACGCCACAGTGAGCTTATTCTGTCCGAATCTCCCACACTAAATTGACTTTGTGACATCCCATATAATTACTCTTTCATGACTTGCTACAACTTGGCATTTTTAACATGCTGTAATATGATTGCGTTATGGATGAAATGGCAATTTCCCTTTTTTCTTATGATATACTATGGCTTTTCTATTTTCTTTTTCAGCTATACTGAGACTTTAATGACCTATTTTTTTCAGGATTTTAGCATATGTCATAAAGAAAGCGCATCATAATGTATGACATTCAAACAAATAACCTACGACACGTCTCAACATTTTATTTTGACAGGAGACTTCTTCTGTCTCTCCTTGACTTCCGGCTTTGTGCAGCTCCGCTACAATCTCGGCGACGGCACCCACGTGTTGCGGTCCGCCCAGCGGGTGGATCCGCACGGCGGCACCTGGCACACGGTGAAGGCCGGAAGAGTCGGTCCCCGAGGCTTCCTCAGCCTGGACGACAGGGAGGAGACCGGAGACAATGCGACTGGGGGGATGAGCACCCTGGACGTGGCCACCGACATCTTCGTCGGGGGCGTGTCCGCCCTGAGCGCCGTCTCGCCGGATGCGATCTCCGGGGAGCCGCTGGGCTTCACCGGCGGGTTGAGAGAACTTCTGATCAACGGCGAAGAGTTGGAGCTTACGGAGACCGGCGCGGCGAGCGGCGCGAACGTGGGCGACTGGGACGGCACCGCCTGCGGGTACAAGGTGTGCCGAAACGGAGGCCGCTGCGCGGCAACCGGCAGCGGCGCCTTCACGTGCCGGTGTCCGCCGCCGTGGACCGGCTCCGCGTGCGACCAGTCCGTGGGTTGCGCGAGCAACGCGTGCGCGCGGGGCTCCCTGTGCGCCGCGTCCGGCGCGCGCTCGTACCGCTGCATATGCCCCCTGGGGCGCGGGGGGAGGCGCTGCGACGCCGAGGTGCCCGCGGACACGCTCAGGTTCGTGGGGAGCTCGTACGTTAAACACAGCGACGCGCGGTACAGCGCGCGGAACGTCAAACACGCGCGGGTGTCCTTCAGCTTCGTGGCGCGCGCCGGCGACGGTGTGATCGCGTGGATGGGGAGGGCCGAGCGGGAGGACGACGATTACCTCGCGGTCGGACTTGAGGACGGACGCCTGAAAATCGCGGTGAACCTCGGGGAGGAGCTCGCCGCCCCGGTGGCTTTGAGGAATCTCACGCTGTGCTGCGGCACGTGGCACAACGTGTCCGTGTGGTTAAACGGAACAATCGTCCAGGTGTTCGTCGACTTGCGGAGGGTCCTTTCGGAAGACTTGGACCCGTTCGAGCGCTACGTGGCCTTAAACTACGGCGGGCGGCTTTATTTCGGAGGGTTCGAGTTACACAGAAACGTGTCAATTGTCACTTCTGGGTTGTTTTCAAAGGGCTTTGAAGGGAGTCTCAGAAATGTGTATTTGTTTAAAGATACCAAGCCGCTACAGTTTCTCAACAATAGTGAGGGTTTTAATGTTTATGACGAAGAATTAGAAGTGATATAAAACTTAATGCGTGTAGTCCATCTTCTCACTGGTATATGGGTCCGATTCATTGTGAGACTAGAATAACTAATTTAAGTGTATCATGTCAAATAAAAGGATGTTAAATGGTTGTAATCCACCATATGAATCTGTAAATAAGTTTTCAATTTAGAAAGAAATGGGAGACTTTTTTTTAATAATCAATAATAATAAAAAAAGATTAGCTTTATTACCAACTGTACATAAACACAGTGCAAAGGCACACTTCATCTCTAATGTATATACTTAAAAAAGGTTTTTAAAAATATTTTAGCAATTTAAAAAATAGCACAGTTTGGATCAGTTTTCTTAGTGCCATCTTAAACTTTTCACCAATGGGTCAGAACTCATTTGGAGAAAACAACCGAAACCGAAGTAATGGTCATTTGTAGTGAGCACAGCAGCTCGATGTGAATTAGATATTTACAATAAAACGGTTAATGTTAGTTGTTCCGACATACAGATGCTCTGTAAATAAATACGTTACAACCACTGAAATTATATTTCACTTTGGCTGCACTGTCAATAACATGAAGTGGAACTTCTATGAAAGAAATGCCATTAGAGCTGCAGATTCTTGTGAAATGTGGAAACGACTCCACTGAGCCATTACAGCTGACGTAGTTTGAACCGGCCACGTGGCCGACAGGCTCATTCTTTGTATGCTTGCAAGCAGGATTTTAAAAAAGACAACAAAAGCATCATTAACTGTCTTTTGAACTTCTGCGTCCATTCTCGTAATCAGAGTCCCGTCGGTGTCTGTGCCTGTCCTTCTGCCGGTGATCGTCGCTGTGGTGCCTCTCTTTTCGCTTGTCGCCATAGCGATCCTCCGAGTGGCCGCGGTGGCGGCTCCGTTCTCTCTCGTGGCTGCGTTCGCCCTTCTCCCGTTCGCGCTCGTGGTGTCGGCTCCTCTTCCCGTGATGAGTGTCCCTGTGTGGGCCGGGCCTCCCGTGGTGGTCTCTGTCCTCCGTGGACCGTGGCCTCTCCCACGGGTCGCTGTACCGCTCCTCCAGGCGCTTGTCCCTGGCCGGGTGGGCGTAGCTCTCGCCGCTCCCCTGCGAGGAGCCATCCTGAGCGCGCGGCACGCTGTGGTTCTGATCCTGGGCCGGCGGGCCGCCTGCGTCGCCACCGGGTCCCTGGGCCTGTTGCTGCTGCGGTGGGATCGGTGAAGCCCTGTTGTATGCTGGGAAAGCTGGCATCATTGCTGCGTCGCGTTGGGCCTCCGGTGCTTGTGGTTCTGGAACCGGAAGGGGGGTTACTGTAGCCGCGGCCTGGGACGCGCCAGGGTCCTCCTTTTTCAGCTTGTCTTCCTCGGGTTTGTTCCTGGCCTGAGCCACCTGTAAATACCCTTGGTGGAAAAGTGTAACGGAATTTCTAGTGATGCTCGACACCGGCGCAGGTTTGGGACTTGGAACCAGGGGGCCGGCTTTATCCTTTTGTACCACAGTCGGTTTATCTACAGTCACGCTGGAATACGCCGAAGACTTTTTCAATATTCCACTCAAAGGAGGTTTGGAGCTGTTAGTTTGAGCTGGAGCCGCCTGGGGTTTGGGTTGCTGCAGAGCATTCCCTTCAGACGCCGCCTTTTCACTGTCAGACAAAGGAGCGGAATTGCCTTTGTCTGCAGAGGCGGCGCTGCTAGTTTCAGTCCCTGTTTGAGGTGCTGACAAGCTCGCCAGGAACGCTTCGGTTGTTACATCTGGAGGCTTATCTTTCAGGGAGACTGGTGCACTGTGGGTCACCGCCGCCGCTTCCTTTCCCGGGGAGTTGTTGGCAGCAGATGCATCGGTCGGACAGGATGCTTCCGGTTCAGCTTTAACAGATTTAGCCTCTTTCTTCTTGATGACGAAGCGCTCTCGAGGTGCTGTTGGACTTTTGGAGTTCTCAGTTGATGCCTCCGTTTTCGGAGCTTGGTGGGTCTTCGAGGTTTCGTCCCCTGTTGTTGGATGTTTCAGTCCAACATCTGGCAGAGGCGGCAATTCCCCGCCCCAGCCCAGTAACACACCTGGAAGGAAACGCAGTGGTTTTTGGGATTCCTGGCTGTTGGTCTCCTCCGGTGTAGATGATTCCTCCAGAGACTCTGAAATTGGCTCACCAACCTCTTCGGTAGCGTTTAGTGGTTTATCTTTCTCTTTTTTGTGTGCAATAGTCAAAGAAGAGAGGAATTTTTTCTCCTCCTCCTCTTTTGCTCGGGTTTCTTTTGTGGAAATGGTGATGGGCTTGATTTCAGGAACAATCCTGGCAGTTTCATTCATGTCCACGGGAAGAAAATCCCTTTTGGATCTCTGGCGAATTATGAGTCCAAGAAGAAGATTGGCCCGGTTGTTTTCTAAACCTGTAGAAAGGAAAAGTGCAAGTTTACAAGATGGCACATGTAAGGTCATTTATAGAGAAAAGGCAATTTAGCTTCCTGGTTACCTGGCCCGTCAAAGGGAACCAGCTGATGTGGAACTTTTTCCGTGGCACCCAAAGGAATGAGATACATGTCCTTCACTTGTTTCCGGTTATTGGACACGACCCCGAACCGCCTGCGACTGCTGAAGTAGGCGTACAGCAGGGTATAGGATATCTCATCTTCCTCCGTCTCAGGGCTGAAGCGAATTAGGGACACCTCCTTCAGTGAAAGAAAAGGCATGGGTCAGTCAGACAAGCAGTCCATAACTCTTCAATGGAGCAGACTTATGATGCATCAAATGAAACCAGCATGTTAATTGTTTGACTTTTTATGTGATTATATTTTAATCCTTTTAAGAAGCAACGCTGCCAATACTGACTTTTGTTCCAGTTGCTCGGATCTTCTCCAAGTAGTCCCACACGGTCTGTGGACTTATCCTTCCGCCAATTTGAAAACTGTCTGGAAGGTCCTGTTGACAAAAAAAAAATAAACCTCAATGACAGCACTTCAGTTTCAAATCTGCAGCCACTATTCAAGCTCAACAGATGTTTTGTCCACCTCAGTCAAGTTGTCCAGAGTGCCTGACACCGGGAACGCTTTAGTCATGAACTTTGCCACAGCGTGCATGTGAATCAGTCCTTGCCACAGGGAGTCCAGGTTGGAAAGGAAAGCGGCCTCTTCGTCTCTTCCAGCTTTATGGTCCGACCTGTGACCATACGACAAGAACGGATGGAGCGAACGTACGATAAAAGGAGTTTGTGCCCACCAGAACCACACAGCGTCACGTACAACCACTCACCTTCCGTCGTAGCCGGACTGAGCATGTCGGAAGCTCTCCTCTAAAACCGTGAGGTGCAGATCGTCGTCAACTGCAGGCACTGCTGTGCTCTTCGTCTCTTCTGCTTGGGTTGATTGCCTCCTAACTACTGTGGTGGCAACTTTGACCACTTTGGTTGGTGCCTCCTCCACGGGCGGCGCCATACGACCTGATTAAAGGAACCGTAGCATGACGAGTTGGTCCCTGAGGGTAGTGACATAGATACAGGGATTTTTCTTCTGGTTTACCTGTGCAGATTTTGCAGTTGAGGTCAAACAGGTGAGACTTGTGTTGGCTGGTGGTGTCTTTCCCGGCGTCTCTCACACTCGAAACTCTCTTCTTGGTGGTATTCGGAGGTTCCACCGAGTCTTCTGTGACTTTAAGAGGAAGCTCAAGCTGCCAAGGGAAAGAAATGAAAGAATATTAGGCACACAGGTCACCCTCTTTTACTAGTAAATATACCACAATGCAGAGTCCTATTTGTCTCACCTCTGCAGGCTCAGATGCCTTCAATGGTTCTTGGCTCTCAATTTCAATTTCACCTTTGTGTGTGATCTTAGTAATTGGCCTCCTCTCTGCCTCTCTTTGCTCTTTTTCAATCATCTCAATAGTCTGAAATGAGTAATTTATTGCTTTTTAGAGGGCAACCAAATACAAACCGAAGTCTCAAACAATGTGAATAACGTCTAGTAAGAAAAGCGACTAAAGCATCACTTACATGTCTGTTCTCCCTCTGTCGCCAAGCAGCCAATTCCTTGGAGGCCAGTTCCTCGGGGCTCATTCGAATCAGGTTACCAGGAGAAATCTCTCCTTTAAGAACCCTCTTGAAGAGGACCTAAATGGAACAGCCAAATGTCATTATACATACTATACTAACAAAAAATGCACCGGTAAGAACATACTTACATTATTTTTAGTGTCTTTGAGGTTGAACATCAAGCTTCTGTACTTGTTCTTGTATTTGTTGTCAGTGTCTTTGTACAAGTAAAACAGCTCTTTCTCGGTCTTCTTGGCCACGTCCGAGGCCCTCTCCACCGACACGTTCAAATGGGAATCCTTCAACCTGAAATGAAGAAAGCACCAAATGTTTGTTGAAGAATTTCCACAATTTCTTTAATTACTTTCACACATAAAGTATACCAACCTCTGTATGAGTATTTCTTTCAGAGAATCACGCACACTTCGCCTAATTGCCTCCGCAGACACCGGCTTCTTCGAAGCGGAGGATGAAGTCTTGGTTTTTGTCTCCAGTTTCAGATGAACACCTAAGAGGATAGAAATGACAAAATCTGCTGATCAAGAATCTGTGACAACTAAATATTAAACATATTTTACAACAATAGCCTGAGAGCACCATGAAGCTGGATGGAATAAAACCTTTTGTCACTCATGTATTGTGCCGCTCTTTAATCAATCTGGTTTAGTTTTTTGTAATGACATTGAACCATGAACTCTGCCTGATAAATGTAGTACGAAGCTAGTAAAACAAACACTGGAAATATGTTGTTTTTATCCAGCGTCACAAAATCTGTCAACCTCAGTAAGCCTTGCAGCATGTGATCAATCGCAAACATGAACAAGTCTACTGTCAGCATATTCTACAAGCAAAGACCAAAGTATAATGTGAGACAAATCTGAAAACACATAACACAGGTTTAAAAGCAACAGCTGTCAAAGAAGCCTGCATAAATTAAAATTTCATTATGTGTTTGGGGTGCAACGGATCAGAAGAACATGGATTAGTTACTCGTTTGATTGGAAAAAATGTTTAACATTCAGATGCCCTGAACTGTTTTTTATGCAACGAGAGTGTAAAATTCTAAATGTTATCCTTTAACTTTTCACATTC